ACAGGAGGACATTGACCACCTGATCAGAAGCATGCCTAGGCGCGTTGGAGAATGCGTAGCATATCAGGGTGCATCCACCCATTATTAAAGGTCAAAGGGCTTTAAAGCAGTGCAATCATTTTGAAATTTTTATCATTTACTTATTATGCTTCATTAAGTACTTATACAAAATTTTATTAAAATAAAACCATTTAGACTGGGTGTTCGGATTTATATGTCACTTAGTATATGATATTAATTTTACAAATTTTCAAATACAAATTGTTTCACCCTTGACCACTGTGATAATTTTCAGACTTCTTGAAATTGGTGAAAATTAATTTAAAGCTAGTAAGAGCGTGTTGAAAATCATCCAGTACAGGCAACTGATTCCAACAAAATAAAGTTGTAACTTTGGCTATTTTTTGATGGCACGTTAATTTCTTGGAAAGATATAGTGGCTCGGTGCATCCCTAGCCTTTACATCTACCCGCCACATGACTCACAATACACGTACTCGTATGTTAACCAAAGTGGGTTACCCTGATCTTTAACTGGATTGGTACAAATGGTCGTTAATTACTCCATTTAAATAATTTACGACGTTCTCAGCTCGATTTCCATAATCGTATATATCTACGTTGATGTCTGCTCCCAAGTTCCGAATCGGGGGTGGCCCCGGGCGACCCCTAATTCCCTGAGGGCCTTTTGTGTGGCCCGACGGCCAGTCGCCGGTGACTCACCTTCGGGCGATTATGGGACTCGCTGAAAACGCATCCCTGTGACCGATCGGGATTGAAACAGGGACGGAATTTGTGAAATAGGGCAAACAATTGTTTAAGAAACTTCGAAAAACGATGTCACTCATTTCCGTCGATCTGTTTGTCGGTCTGTCCGGCAATCCTATAACCACCTACATCTTGATAAGCGCCACTCGGATTTCGATGAAATTTTTACTCAATGTTATTACTGTGCCAAGGACGCAAAAACTTTGTTGTTTCTGAAAATCGGTCCAGTGGCGGGAGAGAAAAGGGCCTAAAACGAAATAAATACTTCGTTTTTTATGTTTGAAAAGATCCTGAACATTTTTGAAAAAAAATGGAGCGGCGCGGGTGGTAAGAGGGTGGGGGGTGCTGAACATATTTTATTTTTTTTATACTTCAACTACCACGCAGGCCTAAGGCCTGAGCACCCATTGGGTACCGTGGGGATGTAGGGGGATACATGGGAAAGGGGGAACGCCACACGGACTCTACCGAGGGAACACGTGTGCATGCAATATGCACACATTCTGGCTCCGCCTACGAGATCCGCCGGGTGGTACCTCCGCGTTCGACAGTCAGAGACCGTCTAGCACCTACGGCCAATCACAACATCCATAGCCAAGAGAAAAAAAATCTTGGGACGGGATTCGAACCCGTACAGCGCACGGCGACTGATCAGAAGACCGAAGAGTCTACTACTGCGGCCACCGCTGCGATCACTGTCATCTCAATCCACATACACATTTTTGAAAAAAAAATTGGTGGGGCGGGGGTTGTAAGAGGGTGGGGAGTTGCTGAACATTTTCCTTATGTACTGATAAGGACGTTGCCTGGGAAGTGCAGAGTCAGCCTACTTGACGCTACTTTTTTGTTTACAAGTATCTTGATTGCTCTGGACACGGTACAAACTTTACCCCCGAATAAGACCGCGACTTATACTGAGACCGTAACTAGGCTATTGGCGCAGCATTTATGTAGGAAATCTGTCATCCAACTTTTACTGCAAAATAGAAAGAAGTTAGAAAATGGCATCAAGCAGGTTGATTCTGCAGTTGCTACGCAAGGCTTCCATCAATTCATAAAGGATTATTCGGTACAAGTTAGAAAAAGGTTGGATACGAACATGAATAACAAAGTAATTGAATGGATCATGCCAGTCAATCTGGCTCAACTATGCCTGCCGCAGCACTCGCAGACACAGTACGGCGGCATAGCGTTAGGGATAACAGATACAGGGTTGCCGTATAGGGGGATTTCCCCCAAATTTGGGGGAATTTTTCTTCCCTTAGGGAATTTTTGGGGGATAAAATGATCTTGGGGATTTTTTGGAGGAAAAAAACCTGTTTGTACTTTTGCGGCATTTTATTCCATTTTTGACCACACAAAACTGTATATTTCTGGATATCAAATTTATCCCTCTGTATCTTTTTCTTTCCTCGCGGTCGCAGTATAACGTATCTCCACAAAACACATACAATGTCAATTGTTAGTTAGCAGACCATAGTCATAAAACAGAAAAAGCAGAATAGTAAGATGTGAACGGCAGGGTTATCACGTAAAAAACCTATTTATTTGTCAAAAAAAAAACGACAAAATTTCAACTTGCTGACTACATAATTCCTTGTGTGCAAACAGTTCATTCCGCGTTCACTCGCTATGAGCGCCGTGAGCGTCACCAAAGGCGTCATCTATAGGCTCCTCTACACGTTGGCCAATCCGTTGGCCAGCGTGCATTGGCAAGGACATTGGACTGTCCACATGTTGGAACTGTTGGAAGGACGTTCAATTTGTTTCGACGCAGGCCAATATGAACAACATCGAGATCATGAGAGTAGCAGCTGCTGCAGTTAATTGATTTACTGCATTTAGGTACTACTTAAGTGTGTATCATTACAAACTTGTAAAAAATCTATAATCACCAGAGATCAAAAGCACTTAAAAACACCCGTGCCCTACAACAGTTGATCACATACTAAGCCAGTGATTCCCCAACGTGTGGACGAGAATACCAGCGTCCGCCAGTTCCAAGGCCAACGCCTATGATGCGTCTTGAAAAACCGACACCACGACGGATCGGTCGCCAACGCTTGGACGAGCTCTGCCAATGGCGCCAATAGGACAAACAGTATCCTCTACACGCTTTGCAATAAACATTGGCCAGCGTATTGGCCAACGCATTGGCCAACATGTAGAGGACCTTATGGAGGAATGACCATGCAAGAATTTAGTTCCTCAGCATGCTTTATTGGTTGCAGAATGCCGAGGTAGTCTGTAGAGTATCTTCGAGAAGATGTTTCTGAAATAAAGTTGCTTGAGTAGCATCTGAATCATTGTATATATAAGTCTCCATGTGTATAAAACGCTATATGAGAAAATTATTATTGAATGTGCTGCCCATGAAGTATATCTATTAGCTGTACTAGACGGGTTATGCTCAAAGTTATAAATTACGATTACTCCCGGTTTTATTGCGTTTTTAAAAACTTTGGTAAGCATTACGGGAAATCACTGTTCAATTAAGCACGTCACGGAAAAATGTACTCTTCACTCAATTCTCGCTGTGCTTCATATATAGACACTGATTTGTTTTTTCTACTTGACATCGCAAAATAAATTTCTATAAAATTTGAATGACTGGAATTTCAAAATAATATGAAATCTGACTTTTTCACGTATCACAAATATTTCTGTCTGCAGCATATTTTTTAAAACTATACTAAGTGACATATAAATCCGAACACACAGTTTAAATGGTTTTATTTTAATAAAATTTTGTATAAGTACTTAATGAAGCATAATAAGGAAATGATAAAAATTTCAAAATGATTGCACTGCTTTAAAGCCCTTTGACCTTAAATAATGTGTGGATGCACCCTGATGTGCTACGCATTCTCCAACGCGCCTAGGCATGCTTCTGATCAGGTGGTCAATGTCCTCCTGTGGTATCTCATTCCAGGCAACCACCAACTCCTCTCGAAGTGCTTCTAGAGTCTGAGGAGGACGTTGCAAATTGAGCAATCTCCTACCCATCATATCCCACACGTGCTCAATTGGGGATAAGTCGGGAGATCTTGGTGGCCATGGAAACAATGTGACATCATTATGTTGAAAGAAGTCTATTGTGACTCTTGCAACATGTGGTCGGGCATTATCTTGTTGGAAAGTTGGATCTGCCAGGGTGTCAAGATAGGGTAAAAGATGGGGTTCTAGAACTTCGTGGATATAACGCTGCGCGTTCATGTTACCTCTCATGAAGATTAAAGGTGACCTGGAACCATAAGCTATAGCACCCCAAACCATAACTCCAATAGTGTGATGAACATGTCTTTCAACAAAAAACTGTGGATTCCTCCTTTCACCACGTCGCCTTCTAACCCTGGCACGACCATCGTGCATGCCTAAACAAAAGCGAGACTCGTCACTAAAGACAATACTGTTCCATTCGTGATCCCAGAGTGACCGTTGTCTGCACCACTCAAGGCGATTACGTCGGTGTTCTCGAGTTAAAGGGAGGACCCAGTGTGGCCGGTATGAAAACAAGCCAAAACTTCTCATTCATCGGTAAACACTTCGCATGCCAATAGGTCTTCCGTGTTCTGCAAACTATTCATTTGCAATGGACCTGGTAGTGGAGAAACGGTCCCTTAAGGCCAATAATCTTAGGCGGCGATCTTCACGGTCTGTTGTTCTACGGCGGCGTCCAGTGCCCCTTGCTCTTTGCGTACGGCCTTCTCGAAGCCATGCCTGACAACACCTAACCACAGTGTCTACACTTCTTTGCACTCTAACTGCAATTGCCCGAAAAGAAAGTCCAGCTTCCCGAAGTCCCACTATACGGCCCCTATCAAACTCACTAAGTTGACGAAATCGTACAGGTCTCCGTACTCTAGGCATCGTAAAAATAGTCAAGAATATAGGCTCTATCGACGAATTTCTGACAAACCTGAATCCATCCCTGCAGATGCTGTTGTCATGGACCGTAAAGCGGGGGCGAAAGATTGTATATAGTGCAACCCCACGGGAATGATAAGCTCTGTGACACGTGACTCCCGTATTTTTCGAACAACAGCGGTGCGCTGCTTATATTGTCAGCGCAAGGAGTTTATTAGGTCTCAGTTCTTCGGATTTTCAATCAATAACATGATTTATGTGCTTTTTTAGATGATCTAGTTTGTCGTCTGTAAACTCCGATTCTAAATAACATGCTGTAATGTGACTAATAATAATGATTACAACAATCTCAATTTTTATTTTTAGGAAGTATATTGTGGAGGAGAAACAATATGTACAGTTGACGGCCTCCATTTTCACTGCATGTACAATGCTAGGGTCAAGGCATTTAACAGTACTGGAGAGGGGGAGTACAGTGAACTGATTGGATTGCAGACTGCAGAAGGTAAGAAATATCAAAAATGCGCGATCAAAATTTTAATTTGTCATTTTTATATATAACGTTGTTCGAAATCAATATGTATGTGTCTTCAGATACTCAATATAAGAAATGTTTTATGTACAGGGTAAGTACTTAAAAATGGATCACACTTGGAAAATATTTTCATCTCTACGGGGTGATTCATAACTACGTGGTGATCCAGACATGCAGTTTTTTTATGGAAAGACACATTTTATTTCAGATTTGAATAGCTCCTTTTTAAATAGAGCAATTTAATATACCTGCTAGATGGTTTTATTTTAAAATTAGCTCGAGTACTACTTTTTGACAGAAAAAATTTATGATCCCATATTTTCTCTCTGCCTACTTACTTTTTCAGTTACTTTGGTAGTTTATACAGGGTGCGCAAGAACGCAATTTGAAAGATTTCTCTAAGAGTTCGAATGGAGCACCCTGTACGTTTCCACATTCTTTCACAAGCTTTTTTATATAAGATTTTTGGGGGTTTGTGCAACTGGTTTTTGAGTTACAGCCAATCTCTTTGCAAATCAGGTATCCAGGTAAATATTACATTACATTTCAAAATTAAAATAGTAATTAGGTGGTAACAGCAGATCGTGTATTTTCGTTATAATTTAAATCCACCCAAATGTATGCAATATATGTTAGTTGAAAAGTCAAGAAGGGTCCTGTGTTTTCATTCACTCAAAAACTAGTCATACAAATCCTTATAAACCTCAGATTACCAAAAAAGTTTGTAATCAGGATGTAAAAATATAGGGCGTTCCATTTGATAATTCTGAGAAATAGTTGATTTTGCGTTATTTACCACTCAGTATAAACTATCCAGAAAACAGAATAAGTAAGTTGGCAGAGAGAAAATATGGAATCAAAAAATTTCCAGACTATCTTTAACAGTTGCTGAGGCGTGAGTTGTCAAAGTTGAGTCTTGTTTTCAATGGTTTGTCCAATCCAAATCTGTAATTAAATGTGAGGCTTTCCATTTAAAAAATATGTTTGGGTCATCACGTAGTTATGAATTGTTTTTATTAACTTTTTTAGATACCATGCGCAGTTTTATCCGCGGAACGTAGCGCCACTAATAAAGTAACCAAATTTCCCAAGCATGCAAGTTGACTGTCAATCACAGATACAAAAAGTGATCGAAAGTTTATAGCATTTGGTAAAAACAATGTTTTATATTAGTAACAGCTTCGAGCTAACGGAGTCGCTGGTAACAGATGGTTCAAAATAAAACGTCTGTATCGCTTGACGGTCACAGGTTGAGTGGGGGATGGGAGGCCGCGCTGATGCCAGCTCCACGCGGACGGTGGAGATTTTGTTACTTAACTCGGTGGTTAATTATAAAACCATGCCTATAACCTTCCTAGGCTATTAATTAGTAAGTGTACAGATTTATACGTCTCTCCGTATTGCGGTGTCATTTTGGAAACATTCTTCGTAATTTTTAAAAAGTGTGATAATTTTTTATTCTTTATTATAAAGGACTATTTTTATTCTCGTATAGTTTGCTTACAGTCTTAGGGATTAAAATGACAATTTGGGTTTGCTGTGGTACTACAGATTCGCATTAAAATACCGTCGTACTATTTTATGACCGAAAATGAGACGACAAACGTATGGAAAATAATTTTTTATTACAAAATTAAATACAATAACTTTACAAAAAAAAAATTAAGAAATACTGTTTAGCTAATGTTTGGTAGCATAGCCTTTATTTAGCATTGCCTGACATCTGCTGCTCATAGAAGACACCAGACGTCTGTTGGGATATTTTGCCAAATAGTTTTTACCTAATCTAATAAACCGTTAATATTTTCAAAAGTTTTTCTTGTCAGTTGTCTTTTAACATGCTCCCAGAGATGTTCTATAGGGTTTAGGTCTGGGGATTGCGAAGGCATGTAGGAACATAAACATTTTTTAGTATTGACCAGTCCTTTACGAATGTTGAGGTATGTTTGTGATCATTATCTTGCTGTAATGTCAATCGTAAAAGCATTTCTTCTTCAGCAAAAGAATATCTTTGTAAAGTTTTTGATCCATTTTCTCAACAATTTTATCAATTGGATCCGTTTCAGAACTAGAAAAACAGCCCCAAGCCATGATGTTGCCTCCACCGTGCTTAACTATTGGCAACTGATAACTTTTTGTCGAAGCTTTTTCGTATTGGACGTCTCACATATCGTCGTCCGTACCGCAAACAGGCGTAACTGATTTTATATAAATTTTCAGTAGAAGCAAAATGAATATCGAGAGTTATTTGATTTCATATATCTTTACTACTTTAGACAATATGAGCATAATTTCTTCCAATAACATAGCTAAAAAGTGTGTTCATCATCTTCTGAGAAGTATATAGAGGAAAGGAAATTCATATTCTCAGCTAAACATGTTTTTTATCTTTTTTTCCCAGATACGCCTCTTTGCGGTAACCTTGACAATTACAATAGTCTAGCGGTTTGAAGATACGCCTTTGACTCCATATGGAATAAAATTAGATTAAATAAAAAAACACTTTATTCTCAGATGTAAATAATGCTCGAGCAACTCAAGGATAATAGAGAACAAAAATAAGAAGATGATTTCAAACAAAAACATTTATGGCTGGTCCTCATGAGGTAGTGAATCATAAAAACGTTGATGTTCTGGTAGAGTAATGGCAGGCCTATCGCCTTGGCAAAGTGAGGTCAAATCATTATATTTTTTATTTGTGATTTTTTATAGGTCGCTATTCAGAGGAGACAGCTCTTTTTTTAAAATATCGGAAATATTTCTTTTCAAGGTTATGGACCTGTAGTCTGTTTGCTTATGGCTAGTCTTGAAATAGATTTTGTTGCAATTATCACTTGTCACTTTGAATTCCATCATATTTTTCCAATTCACATCCATGTCTTTATCATCTTTTCGAATAGATAATACTCTTAAGTCTGATGCGAGTTTTTTGAGGCCAAAAAAATTACGATAGTCTAAGGGACGAACCTTATATGGCTGTTTCTTTCTTGCTAATGCATAGACTGGCAATAACTGGCTCGGCACAATAATTTCACCTGCATTTTTCAAAGCGTAACTTATTGCACTATGTGCTGAATCGCCTTCATTTTGTCCATGACAAGAGGCAAAAAATTTTAACGTTATCTCTTTAACGTTTGAACAATTACTGACGAGAGATAAAAGAGTGGTAGCCATTATCCAATTCTTATTTTGGCCACTACAACCATCAGCAAATAGGTCAACAGTATTGTAGCCTTGTTTGTCTTTTTCGGAAATAAATAAATAAATAGCAGTCGATATTTCCGAGCTACCACGTTTACTTTCAGTCTCACTCCATGTATAACAGAAACATTCTCGAGATGCTACTTCATACATAGTTAGATTGTAGACAGCAAGCCGTGTTTTATAAAATACGGAACAATGATTAGAAATTGGTAAGTATATAACTTGTTGGAGATCAAATGTAGCACATATAGCCTTTGTATCATTTTTAGCTTTTTCTTTGCAGCTATTCTTTATTTCTCTTACCGTTTCCTTTTCTAAAATGTGGGCCAAGTACTCCTTTTCCAAATTAGCCTTCACTTCTTCCGATCCTTCTCTGTAACACTTGCAAAGACCACATTGATCTTTTTTTGGTTTGTGAAATGAGAGGTTCATGGATCTGAAAATTTTTCTATACAAAGAAAAACTTCCATTTGTTTGTTGGTCTTCCAGTTTGTACATGTGATACATTGTACTCAGAGATAAATCTTCATGTAGGTATTGTTTAGTTGAGGACATCCGGCAGTAATGTGACTCTACTCTGGGGAACCTATTTATGTGCTCTATAATACTTTTTCTAATGACTATGTCTCTTGATGATTGTAACTCCCGTCGACCTCCACGATTTTTTTCTAGCACACCCGTTGTTCTATTCAATTTCTTTATTGCGGTTCTGCAAACTTTCTCACCTATCCCATGGGTCCCAAGGAACATTTTTTTACAAACTAATTGTCGGATACCTTCTAGAGGTAAGAAAAAATAATGTGTTTGCTTACGGCGTCGATCATTGCTATTTGTAGTTCTATGTTTTGGGTTTTCAGATAATACAAAACGTGCTATATACTCTCTTTGTTGTTGGAGGTCAGCAAGACTATAAAACTGTGAGAATATCATTGTTCTTAAAGGACTGCTGAACAAATAACACATCCTTTTTCTTTTCTTACACATTTCTATATTGCAAATTCCCTTAAGTGCTTTCTCCTTCACAATTTTCTTAGTTACAGGCGAAATACATATATGTTTCGCTTTGATTCCTCAATGTTTTTGCAATTCTTCTTTTATCTTCTCTGACTTTGTTTTTCCTTGGGAACCTTCTACAAAAAATCTTCAGGGCGCCTCTCTTCCTGTTTCTCTTTGCTAAGTACACTGCTCTGTCCTGTGTCCGTCCTGGCAGGATAGGGTATCATCTTCAAAATGCTTCCAACATAACAAAATTGAGCATTGAAAGCAGGACCTGAACACATCTCCTTTACAGCTTTTAACTTCACAAGTTTGATGATAGTCCGGATCTTCCGGATTATAAATCTCGACTGCAGCAAAGGGATCGCTTTCAGATGAGGTGTGACTCAATTCGGACAAAACATCATATGTATATGTAAGTCAAAAGGACATATCTTAGTTACCACTGAGAGAGTAGCAAAAAATAGACACCGCATGTAGGCGTATCTTCATTTACGCCTATTTGCGGTGTATTGTATTTCATTTCTGAGAGATACGACGTTTAGTTTTATGCTGATATCTCTATGAGCGAACTACTTAGAGTTACGCCACTTTGCGGGATTGAAGATATGCTATACCTTGTTGATTTGAATCCGTTAACTCGAATTTGATTTTTTGTCAGATACGCCTGTCTGCGGTATGGACGACGATATGTCGTACCGTCAGATCCAAACAAGTTAAATTTGCTTTCATCGCTCCATAAAACTGTATTCCATTGTTGTTCTGTCCAAGTTAGATGAGTTTTAGCAAATTTGAGCCGCGCAATACGATTTTTTTCAAATGAGAGGCTTTTGCACTGGACGCCTACCAAAAATCCCAAAATCCTTCAAGCGCCTCTGCACTGTTCTGACAGAAATATTCTCGGCACCCTTTTCTACGATTCTTTTGAAAATCTGTGTGGCTGGCATTCGAGGATCTTCATGGGACAAACGTTTAATGTAGCGATCGAAAACATAATCGTTTTTTCCATTTTATTTACTAATAATTTTCGAAATCATTATTGTTCATTTTTAATATTTGAGAAATGTCAATATTCTTCTAAATAATTCAATTACTTTGTCTCTTAAATGTTTTGAAAATCCTTTTACTTTTGCCATTCTCACTGATGTTAAGATTTACCGTACGAAATATTACAGAACGAATAAATACGGCAAAACTGAAATGTTTTCATAACTTTTGTCGTTTCAAAATCTGTGGTATTTAAAAAACGCATGTCTCTATTTCCAGAGAATTTGAATATTGATAAGATAAACCTGGCATTAGTACGGGAGACAAAGGTAGACTATAGTATTTATAGTATCTGTTCCTTCACAAGTTTAATTTATAAATATGAAATAGTTCAAAATAATGTTAATATGCTACTGCATATAGAGATTAAATGCATGTGACATCCGTCACACATCATTTTAAGCTAAAATTACTTCATACATACAAATCAGTGCAATTACAGAATTAAGCAGTGATTGATATTGATAAATATAGCAATGACCAGTCCTGTTATTCGCAAAATGTTTTGATTTTCACTAATATTAGTAATTTGTAACTGACCTGAAACCTGAAAACATATCCAACACATGAAAGCGTATCAAATAACTAATGTAGCTATTTACGATATTATTCAATAATCGGGCTCGAAACAGGGCAGAATGATACCCACATGACCACTGATTATTGCTCAGAAATAGTCGGAATATCGGTGTTTCGCGCTAAGATTTGCATCAACGTTGGTATCCTTAGAAAGGTAATAATCCCCTTCCTAATGGTCCCAACTAACGATTTCGAATAGTTTATGAGCCAAGCCTATACAGGCTGTTCCAGAAGTCGGCGTCAGGCCAGAAACGAGGGATAGGCTAAGTCGTAATAGTTATCAGAAAAACGTAACAAAAATCTATCTTGTGTTTTTCCGATTATAGACAAAAATCGGAAAAAATAGATACCCTGTGATGATCTTTTAACTCCAATTACTATAAATTTAAATTTTTTCTTGACCGAACTTTTCCGACTTCAGCCGCATGAGTGACGGACAGTGTCATTTCACGCAGTGACAGCAAGACAGATAGTAACGCCACTTTTATTCATTCGTGAATGCATTTATTAAATTCACATTAAATATTCAAACTGCCTTCCTTCAACAGCAAAGTTTAACACCACAATTATCTGCAAACACTCGCACTTTTAAAAAATGACAGAACTTTTAAAAAAAATGAGTTTTATCAAGTGCACTTGGATGAAAGAAGGTTCCTTTTTGCTTCATTTTCACATGAGGAAACAGTGCAAAGTAGCAGGGAGCAAGATGTGGACTTTAAGGCGGGTGCTCAATAAGTTTTAGTCCAGTAGTGGTCAAATACTCGGTGGAGGCTTTGGCGTGGTGAGCTGGAGCGTTGTCATGGCGGAGATACCAAGTGTCCATCCTTGACTTTGGCCGCAGGTTTTTCATAGACCCTATGACTTTAGGCAGGCACTGTTCCTTGTACCACTTAGCTGTGACCGTCTTCTGTGTGTCCAAAACGACACGCTCCACAATCCCGCTTGGTTTGAAAAATATAGCTATGATTTTTTTCTTAACAGATCGGAATTTTCTGATAACTACGGGTGTGTCGTCATCATCAAAGATCCAAACTTTGTTTTGATCTTTGGTCGGCACATCGTAATAATAGAGCCAACTCACATCACCTGTCACGATGCTGTTCACATACCGAGATTGCCCCTTATCAAACATTTTTAGCACTTCTGCTCTTTCGTCAGACTATGCGGTAGCCAGAGAGAACAAAGTTTCCTCACGTGTATATGGTGATGCAGAATTGAATGAATTGCTGGTGCATGAAGGTGAAAGGCCTCCTCTATCTGTTGCGATGTCACTCTCCGGTTTTCGTCAAGCGTGTACCTCACAGCAGTGATGTTAGCGGCCTTCCTTCCCTCTCAGCGTCCACCAGAGTGAATTGCCCCTTTGGAATTATCTGTACCACCTGAATCTAGTCGTACGATGAAGACAATCTTTCTTTGATGCAAGCGTCATTTCTTCTAAGCACTGACTGAAGTTTATGCTTAAACCACGCGTTCAGACGTGCTGCTGGCGGCTATTATGCACTCATGGACATCTCTCAACATGCAGTAACATGCAGCCTCCTGTGTTCGTTTTAAGTCATACTGCGAAACTTTCTAGTACTCTTTGTAATTATTAGATAAAATTGACCAATATTTGTTTCAGTCGCCTGGTTCACATTTGATCCAATCCTATCCGGACCGGGACTTCAGTACTCGGAAGATAGTACCCGAGTGACAGGCGAAGGATGGGAGCACAGAGTTGCGCTTGGAAGTGTGGGCTTCAGCCGAGGTATCCACTATTGGGAGTTCACAGTTGACAAGTATGATGCAGATACAGATCCGGCATTTGGAGTAGCCAGGATTGACGTCGCTAGAGACAAAATGCTAGGTGAGTCACAAGCAAAACCTCTATATTTCGGTATATAGGGTGCTGGGTAAATAATATTTATAACTTAAAAAAATGCTGAACTTATTTCTTTTTAGTCATGAAATAAATTAATATTGCACCTTAATAATTTAAATTCATATGCCTAATAGCGTAAAATGTATCAATACATCTATTTATTAATTAACTGTCTCTATCAAAATAATTTTCTTGCTTATTAAATACAATTTTCCGATAAAAAACAGACAAACAAAATCCCTCACACAACTGGCAACGTCGTAATCTGCCTGCACTGCATGTATCATCGCGTGTTGTGATTACTAATACATTTAACTGTAACTTTATGTGATTTACGGATGTAGGTTTTTTCTTTTTTCGTGCATCGCATCGTTTCAAATAAGTCACGGTAAGTTCTTTTTTAAAAGTAAATGTACTGTACTGAAAGCGTTATTAAATAAAAAATATTAGCCACAAAAAATTGCGTAATAGTATTCAATAATTCAAGGCATATTTTCAACAAAAATATCATACAAACATAACAATTCGATGAAGCAGTTGGGGTCGTCGTGCGCTCGTATCGCGGTTGCGTTGCAACGTTGCCAAATGTTTGAGAAAATTTAATTATTTCAGACTCACTTTCCTTGAAAATGATTGATATTCGGACATAAGCTATAATGAACTTTTTTGCTTAGAATAATGCAAGAAATCACCTCTTAAAGTTACGAATATTATTTCCCTAACACCCTGTAAAATTTTCAAAATGAAATCGGAAGAAAAGTTGAGTGCAAGGTGGAAACTCCGTTTTCCTAGAGTTTACTTTAGCAGATGAGTTATATTACCGACAAATGCCGCCACTGTCAGCAATAAATACATTTAGGAGAGCTTTCCCAAATGAGTGATTTAACGAATATTCGCATGTTTCTTGATACTCCCATTCGCATCCTCGTTCGCATATTTATAATCAAGAGCTTCGATTTTTGGTATAATTTATATTTGACAATAAATGTAAATTTACTTCCCAAATTTTACAAATTTCTAAATTTCCAGATTTTTTCAAAATTTCCAAATCTTTAAATTATTTTATTATTTCCCGAATTTTCCAAATTTACAAATCCAATTTTTTACAAATCTTAAGACTCAAATTGTTATCCCGCGAAAACTGTGCTCAGTTGGTAGATATGAGCCCGCCAAAATGAGGTTCTTTGTACTTTGGTTTTTGGTTGCAAATTGTTGTAGTCTGGGCGCCACCTAGTTCCAAGCACACTAGGCAAAGAAATAACAAGTAACTACTGTTGGATTTTTGGCGGTAAAGGAGATCCAAACTCACAAAGTACACAAACATTTATTGAACAAAAGAACTAGAAAAATTTTAAAAGAAGTCCTGGAGGACAAGCAAAAGAAAGTTATTCTGTACTAAATGGTTTCCAGTAAAAAAAAGAAAATAAAATAACCACCTTGGCAGGTGATACTCAGATGCAACTCTTTACCCGAACAAGCTGCTAAAAAATTATTCTAAATAAGAAAAACACTGCAACAATTTAACAAGATATGTATAGTTAATTTTTACTCGACCATAAAAAGAAACTGTAACAAAATTCTTTAAATATTTTCTAATTCGATTTTGTTTGTAAAATTATTGTATTGTCATTGGTCCTTTACACCTGTGAAAATTTTTATGTTGTTGATGTATTGCGTATTTGGATTTCAATCCTCTGTAGAGTGAAAATTAAGTGAACTAAAGCTTTTTGGATGAGCTAACCTCAGAAGACAAGTTTCTTGGGCGGATATTTTATCTTCGTGAGAGGCTTTTAAGGACTACATAGGTCCGGTATTGAATCAGGACGAACTGTTCGATGAAGTTACTCCAATACAAACGAACGTTACAGAAAACAAAATTGCCTACTAAGTTAAGAAATGCCAGTGCGTCAATTGAGAGGTAATTCTTAAATATTAATAACTATTGGAGTTCTGAAAACTCGCAGTTGAAGATATCTACTTGGAAGCCACTATGCAAGTCTACACAAACTTTAATGATACTTGCATTGAAATGTTTCAGTTTCTGAAGGGTAAACCACAAATTTTAAAGGCAATTCATAGTTCCCAAAAGTACGACTGGTACCAAAATGAAGATCCGAATGGCCAAGCTAGCATGTTAAAGGAAAATTAACTTTTAAATATTTATGTACATATTTTTTTTTAAATCCTTTGTTATATTGCTACTGCATCTGGATTACAATAAAACAAAAATACCTTCATTGTGTTATATTTAGACAAAAAATTGTTCTAAGTATCAGTGGTGATTTTCCTTAAAAGTGTATTTTTTTTTGTTTAAAAACTATGGTCACGCTTTGTATATGAGCCCGACCGACTCTGCCCAATAACAGTTATGCTCCCCGTTTCTTGGGATATAACATGGTGCTGAACTCGCGCTGGTTATGTTTTGGTTGAATGTCTTTATTGGATAGACATACTTTAGTCTGTCTTCATTGTTTACCCTTTACCTTAGCAGCTTGTTTTTAATGATATTCTTACTTTCTTTTCTTCAGGAAAAGACGACAAAGGATGGGCCATGTACATCGATCGACAACGTTCCTGGTTCCAACACTCGGGCGCTCACGAGCAACGCGTGGAAGGAGGCATCCACGTTGGATCCACAATTGGAGTTCTCCTCGACTTGGACCAACATACATTATCGTTCTACGTGAATGAAGAACCTCAGGGCAATGTGGCATTTAGGGATCTCTACGGGGTGTTCTATCCCGCTGTCAGTCTCAACAGAGGTACCTATTTTATCTACTTCCCACATCACGGATCGAAAACAATAGTTTGGAAGTTTTCTTAATTTCAAATATCTTCCAGAAAAATTGTTCCAAAAGGCGTCTCAGCAGGGACTTAATTTAGCGGCAGTTTTCGGTATCTTATATGGCCATATGTCATTTAGAAATCCTTGCAAATGCCATAAATATGGATCACGAAGATTAGGATCAGTGTTTTAGTTGGTGTCTTAATATATTTCTTTCCTAATGGGTAATAGATTACAGCTACAAGTAAAGAAATCGTAATAGATTTACAGGGAACTGTGTGATCCGTTATAAACTTCAAGTTTATACAGCATATTATATTTTGAGGTATATTTTTGAAGCAACAAAAATGATGATGCTTCAGGTGGCACGTTCCTTTCTTTAGATTTTTTTTCAACTTCCTGTTTGCAGCAGTATTATAACTCTTTTTCTTCTTATAATTTCATGGTTTGTATAGAGATGACTAAAAAACAATGTCTTCATTTTTTTTTGTTAAAAAATACATTTTTTGTGCATTCTTTCTTCAATCGGAACTGGTTAACAAATAATAAGTACAGCTCTGAAATTGTGTGTGAATATTCCGCTTTTATGGTAGACTGAAACGAGTGATTACTTTTGTTCTTATCACTTTTTCTTTACGAAAAATCTTTCATTTTCTTGATGCCTCCTCTCGCAGCAAGTTCCGATTGAAGAAATATATATACAGGGTGGTCCATCCATGTGTAGACGGAATATTACTCATAAACAAATACATTTTGGGAAAATATATTTATGGGATGTTATACATGACATTTGAGGGCACATTTCTAAAATATTGGCCATTATATACAGGTCAAAATTGGGACACCTTGTCTAATTGCCAATATTTTAGAAATGTGCCTTCAAATCTCATGTATAACATGCCATAAATATATTTTCCTAAGATGTATTTGTAGCAAATTGAATGTAAAATTCGAAAAGGTCCGCGTTTCGAAAAAGAAACAGTGGCGCACTATTTTTATTTGGAAAAATAATGTCACTAATCTCCTGTATCTCCCCCACTGGTGCACGTTAATTTTAAGTAAAGACTTTTGAATGTGAATAATATTTAGGTAATTTCACATACCAAATATTAATTCATTCCAGTTGGCTGTTTTGCAGAGATTAAAAAAATACTTTTTTTATTTTTAGAATTCAACACCCCGTATCTTTTTAATGAAACCCGCCAGGAAAAAATGTTACATAGAAGATCCTCCTCTTAAAATGCGGTCTTGTGTATGATGTTTCATTTTTGGTCACGACTTGTGACTGTATATGGTTTGAGTCGGTCAGTCAAACATAAAAGATATCTTTCATATATACATTATGACTAAATAAAGAAAATCGTGTCTTTAGTATACCTTTTTATTGACTGATTTAGCACAACTGTACAAGATCTCGTCATGAGAATAAAAATAGATTTATTAATAGAAGGTTCAATGTTTCATTTTAAACTTTATTTTTTTAGGTGTCAGCGTAACAGTCCACACGGCACTAGATCCACCATCGGATTCGGACGAAACGTGAATGTGAGACTGATCGGCAGTGTGTTATTATTTATTATCATATAAGATCAGATAAGAGTCCAGGGGAAAACGAACATTTAGGTGCTACATGTTATTGATTCTCCCGATTTTTGGACTGAATGTTGAATGTACATTATCAATAAGCATCGTTTCGCATCTATTTCCTTCGATTATTATTGACACTAGAAGGATATAGACATGTACCATAATTTCGATCATTACCTTATTTCATTTTCTTGTAAAACAAAGCAACATACACTTTTTGTAGATTAAATGACAGAGCCTTTTAGAATGTTTCCAAACAAAGAAATTGTTGTAGTTGTAGAAAACAGACTGACTTATAAGTTTGCGAGACATTCCAGCATTGGAAAAACTTTGCAAAAATTTACAAGACGGTTGCCGATGTTGCCATTTGTCATCGCGTTGCTCAAGCATTCGATAAAAAAGAGAAGGACCCGTTGATTTCAGACTGTTTAAATTAGTGGGCTTGAAAATACGAACCTATAATCAAATGATATTAAATTTTCACTACAAGCACCCTAGTTTAAATGGAACAAAGTAATGTATAGATTACAGATCATAGTGAGATTTTTGTAAAATAATTTTATTAGCTGTACTTATTTAATATTTATACTTTACATATCATGTATCGTGGAAATGTACTGGAATTTGCTGGCACTTTTGCGTGCATTGTACTTCTTGGCTTTGTGGGAGGTAGTACCATATTTTCTAGGTTATGTAAGAAATGATACATTGTGAGACTGGGTGAGAAGCAATTGTATTATTGAAGATATGCATTATGTTTATTCTATCTACTTAATTTCCAAAAAATGTTTCAAAGTGTTGACGGAACGAACAAATTTTTCATATAAGACTTTTAGGTATTTATGAGACCTACAAAATGAGACTACACGTAAAAAGATCCGGAAAATAGCAAAAATGTTATGGCTGGTTTTGGCACTTGTTGGTAATGCGACGATAATTTCACGCAACTACTTAATATTCTTCAAATCCGTAGGATCCATAGTTCTAAAAAATAACAACAACAAAATTTTATTATATTGGTCAAGTAGCCTTTTGAGAATTTCTAATAATTTTTTATCCCAAAACATCTGTTTTCCGGCCATCACTACTAGTTTATTGAGCAATATACAGGGTTCGTTCAAGGAGCATTTAACAGCAAAATATACTTGACCAGCTTGCCGATATGAATCCCAAACCATTCCGAAAGGTAAATATTATTTTTATGCGAAAAACAAAGGTTTACTTTTTTTCTTCTAAACAAATTCAATCATTTCGTATTTGTGAGTAATTGAACAAATATTTCGTATTTGTGAGTAATTGAACAAATGCGCTACGATATTCGAAAAACATACGTTACTATACACAATTTAAAACAAATTACTCACAAATACGAAATGTTTGAATTGGTTTAGAAGAAAAAACGTAACCCATCATTTTGGGAATAAAAATAACATTTATCTTCCGGAATGGTTTGCGATTCATATCGGCAAGGTAAACTAGTATATTTTTCTATAGAATGCCCTTTGAACTAACCCTGTATATTGCTCAATAAACTAGTAGTCATGTCCAGAAAAAAAGGTGTTTTGGGATAAACAATTAGAAATTCTCAAATTTTTTTGTGGTTATTGAGAAGTATGAATCCTACGAATTTGAAGATTTCCGAGTATCTGCGAGAAGCCGTCGTCGCATTACCAACAAGTGCCAAAACCTGCAGTTTGCCTCGGTTTTCGGCCATAACTTTTTTGCTATTAGTCCGATTTGTATATGTGGGGTTTCATTTTGTAGGTCTTTTGAATACCTAAAAATCTTATATGGAGAGTTTTTCCGTTCCTGCCAACACTTTTGATTGAATCGCAAAAAACACATTTTCTCATTCTTTGTTGTCGAATAAAAAGTTTTCCCACAAAAATTGGTGAACCCATTTTATGAATCCATGTTTTGAATACCCCATTGAACAACTTGTATCAATAAAACGAGACTTTACAATTATTTTGAATATTGTGACTAGCTCCAAAATTTTCGCGGGATTTGTCATTTATAAAACGTGGAGCCGAAATAATGGTGTTTTTTCGATACTTATTTAATGTATTTGTATGTATGTAAATTAACACATATCTTCTATAAAACAATCCTTGTGAATATTTCTATAGATTATGTACAAAAATGACTATATCAACTATACTCGCGGTACATTTTGTTGCTGTGTCGTATTTTCGGCTTGTTACAATTTATTCCTCTCATATACGCAACTATTTATGAAATTTGTATTGAATGTAGTGTAATATTGAAAAAATGTATGTTTTTTATCGAAGACTGATAAAGTAGCAGTGCTTTGCTGAACGAAGGCATATTGTACCAAAATTGTTGCTATTTTTTTCTCATTAGCGATTGACCAATTTTGTATTATTTAATTTTTTCTGTGAAATTTTGCAGAAAAGGTGGTGCACTGCCATATACATATTTTTGATTTCTTGCCATAATGACAGAAAGCTAGTTTATTTTTCCTGGGGGTTCTGTAATTTGTGAAATACACGAGCAATCTGTTGCGCAGTTTTGCAAAAGAAAATCCTATTAGAATTACTTGTAGGCCAAGAAATATGGAGATTTTCCTACAATGTGGGCGACAGTACATTTCTTTGGTGGTATTGTTAGGTTGTTGCATCCTAATGGTACGTTCAAAGTTTTTGCATTTGTCGCAATTTTTATATATGCGTTCGATCGAAAATCTTGACAACCATCGATTCTATGTGAAAAAGTAATATAAACGGTTTTGTAGATAATTAAATTAGCCTCTATAAAATTATGTCGTATGATCAACAGACTATGAGAAATTCAAAGGTAAAGGTGCATGTAATGATATTTGCTTATAATGACTGATCTATGAATCTTAGGGTATAAAACAGAATGCCGAGGGAGTGTTTTCATACGAATTTTTGAATTTTGGTAAAGGGTGTCTCATAAATATTTTCTTATTTTATGCCATAAATAAAAATACTTAGAATATTTTTACAAAGATAAATTTATTACCAAACGAAAGCCTAAACATTAATTTTATTTATGGAAAATAGTATCGGATAAATGAGCACCGTTCATGTTTTCACACTCTCTTAATCTCGAACTGAAGTTTTCGATCACTCTCCGAAGCATTGCTCGAGGAATGGCGTTTATTTCATCTGTTATTTTTTGCTTCAACTCTCTCAAATCTTGTGGCGGTGGGGTGTATACCTTACTCTTCAGGTATCCCCATAAGAAAAAATCTGCTGGTGTCAAATCGGGACTTCTCGGTGGCCAGTTAATGTCTCCTCTGCGACTGATGACCCTCTCTGGGAATAACTGATGAAGAGCATCCAAGGATTCATTCGTGACATGAGAAGTCGCTCCATCTTGCTGGAAAAACGTGTTTCTATTGTAGCCACCATGGTTCTGTATAGCTGGAGTTAAAAAAGTCCTAATCATGTGGCAGTAGCGCTCAGATGTTACAGTTTGAGCTTGGCCACGATTGTCTTCAAAAAAATACGGGCCAATGATTCCTTGCCCTGACATAGCAGCCCAGACGATAACTTTAGGCGAGTGTAATGGCGTCTCATGAAGATTTTGCGGGTTCTGCTCGGCCCAATATCGGCAGTTTTGTTTATTAACATGCCCGTTAATGTGAAAATTCGATTCATCAGAAAACCATATGTTGTTGTAACCGTTAAAATGCTCTCTCATTGTTCTACAGAACTCTAATCGATTAGCGGGATCTTGTGGTTTTAATTGTTGTGTAACAACAATCTTGTATGGGTGAAAATGCAAATCCTTGCGAATAATGCGATGAACAGTTGACTTATGCAAAGTTAGAGACGCTCCACGCAGTCTTAATGATTGCCGGGGATCCTCGTTAACGGACTGGCGCACACGTTCAATATTTTCGTTCGATCTTGCTGACCTCGGCCGTCCAGGCGGTTTACTAATACACGTGTTTCCAGTGCTCTCGAACTTTCTTACCCAATATTTAATTAAATTTGCGCTTGGGACATCTCTCATTCTTGCTATGTTATAATGATTTCTGTACAAACGACGTACAAGCACATAAGAATCCTTGTTTTTATAGAACTCGCGAACACAAAAAGCACGTTGCGGCCCTGTAAAACGCTCCATTGCAACTAAAATTTAACAATGTTGCCAAACGTTTGTCAACTGTCTCGTTTCTCCGGAGCATGCGTATTCCGCCAGAGGACTGATCTAAAAACGAAAATATTTCTGAGACACCCTTTACTTATACTTGAAGAATCATCAGGGTGTGGAAAAAACGCAGAGGGCTTTTATGTAGAAATTTTATTCTCTAAAAAAAAGGGATAGTACGTAGTTTGTATACGACTAGGTTGTTAGTTTAGCCATTATAACGAAAATTACATGTACCTTTACCCTTAAATGTCTCGTTACCTTTTGATTATACGATAAATTTTCATATAAGCTAAATGATGAAGAATTTAATTCTCTACAAAATTATTTCAATTATTTTTTTACATATGATCGCGTTCTTCAAAATGGCCGCAAATCCTCTAGCACTATCATGACGCCAATTTGAAGTTATCATTAGGTAGCAATAATCTAGCGATACCACAAAAAAAATTATTATCGCCTAAATTGTAGGAAAAAAATCCTACTTTCTGCCCTATTGGACGAGTCCATTTATTTGAGGAAAATCGTAAAATAACTTAAGATTGAATGATCTACATATTACATAAGTATTCATGGATGAAAAGGCAAAATTGGCTTGGTTTGAGTTGTATGTAGACTTGGCTATTTATGTATTGGAAAGTTATTACATTTTTTCTCATATATTTCACTCTGTAGTCCACCAATTCTGCGGCTCAAGCTAGGTTTGTCGAGCACTTGCATTTAACTCTTTTGAATATTTTACGTCAATAACTTTTTGGACTCGTTTAACTGATCTAATTGCAAAACGCGCTTTAATTTTAATGATATAGTTGTTGAATAGGCATACGAATACATACTTTTATATTAGTACGAGTTAAATTCTTTTATAAGAGCTATGTTTTATTGTGATATAAAGAAAAAAAGACACCTATTTGGCAGCTATTTATATGAACTTCAGGCGTTTACATGGATTATTTTATAATTTTAAGATTGAATTTGTAAATAAAATTTATACATACAGCCACGCCTTTTCATGTTACCCTTTTTTTCTGATATTATTTTTCGCTACCATGTCTTTAGTAGCTTTTCTTTTGGCACTTTTCTCAGACAAGTCGCCTCACATCTCAGTTTGTTCCATTTGTCAAAGTGAGGTGAGATTTCTCCCTCCCCCCTCGCCTCTGGAGCCTGTGCTTCTGGGTACATGATTTAGAGATGTTTGACTTACATGATTAGAGGATTTTACTTATTTATTATGTATTTCCTGAGGAATGGCGAATTTCGGCTCAAGATTTAACAAACCAGTAGTTTGCCGTACCTACTTAGTTAAAATGCAGTAAAGTTCATTTACCAGCTTTTTAAAATGTTAAAATATATCATTGATTACGTTATTTAACAAAAATAGTTATCTTTCATTTTGTCAAATATTTCGTATTAATTACATTTTCCAAGTATAAAAGCAGTAAATCAACTTATCATAGTTAAAAAATAGCGTCAAGTGGGCTGAAACGCCGTAATCAGTTCATAAAGGATTCATAAGGAAGTTCAATTCAAATCTTCTGATAAAGAATTGAGCTACAGACATGTACAACAGAGAAATTAAAGGTATTAAGTCAGTTGAACAGGCCCATACAATTAGACCATAGACATCTTGCCCTGCCCTACTCGTAGTTAGCAACATCTCTTTCCACATCTGCTCAACATCTTTCATTTCGATTATCCATGTGAGGCAAAATTTACACTCTGTATAATTGTGAGTATTTTAGAAATGTGTTCTCAGCTACCATGAATAGTTTTCTTTGATAAATTTTTTGTTCAGGTATGCTCAGGACACCCTGTATATCATGAAAACGCTGCAAAGGTTTGGTAAGAGCTCATGAGATTTTTATTAGGATGCTCTGACTCTCGAAGTTTGAGAAAGATTCACTGATTTAGATAACCTTTGTGCCTCCTTTTGAGTAGGCAATGTTTGAGATTTGTACAATAATAAAGTGGTTCAAACACATTTCTGAGTTAATCTTAAAATATATAATAAATAAAGTTATATGATCATGGACATAAGATAACATCAAGTCAAGACTAACTAGCAGAGTTCACACAGTCTGTGAATAAACTAGGAAAGTAGTACATTGGCTCATCACAAGTTTGAGAGTCAATCCATGCAAGTCCCTGCCCAATCATGTGGTCCAGAGCTTTCTGACTCCTTTCTCTTTCCCAGTTGAGCTCTTTCCTCAATATCAACACAGATATTCCTCCTTGATTCTTTTCGGCTTGTTGCAAGATTACAGAATGGTCCATGCTTAATTCACCTGGCACAGACTGTACCATGTACTAAAATCAAGGTTAATGGCATTTACACTTTTTTGTTTGTACACTGTTGTGACCTATCTATTCAAAAATTAAGAGGGTATGCATGTTAATGAAATGCACAAATATTAAAATTAAAAATATTGCTTCATGATTTCTATAAATTTATTCATAGCTACAGGTTACTATATCGAAATCAACTTCATAAGCTTTCAGATAAAACAAATTGGCTATCCTAGTCAGTTCATAGCAAGAGCAGTCAAATTTCAACAATACATAATCAAACCTAAAGTTTTGATTTGAGCAACATTTTTCCTAGCACATTACTTGTCATGTATGATTTTGGCCATTGCAAAAATAAAAATGATTCTAATAACACTAGAGATATAGTAAGGAGATTGACATCTTTCATAGGCATATTTGCTAACCTATTCCAAGTAAAGTGGAATTTTGGCCATTTCCCAAGAATAAATAGATCTAGTATGGAGAACATCAGATTTATCTTGTCCTGTCCTACATATATATGTCCTAACTCACAACAAATATAGTATAAATTAGGCCATTTCCAAAGTAAGTAAAGTTCTAATAAGGTAACAAAGAGATCTACCTTGCCTTTTCCCATTGGTATTACATTGAAACCACTACCAAAAACTTTCAGTTTCTGTGATGCTCTAATCAAGTCATCTTTTGTTATTTCTTGATGAGCTTTGCTTGCCCCTCTTGCAGCTATTAGTCTATTTCTCAGTTCATCTAAGCCAATGAGTCCACCATTCTTGGCAATTGTGGCTAAAAAAGTGACTTTTTTGCTCCTCAATTTGCACATTTTTCAACTAACTAGACTTACCAAGACAAACTTCAACTATCTGCACAGCTAGTTCATAATAATAATCTCCAATACCAAGAACTGACCAAAAACCCTTACCAGATGATAAAGGATCAACACCTATACTGGCACACATCTCCTGCGGGACAATGATCAATAATTAAACATCTTAGGTAAACTTGGCACTACTCTACTGATTTATTATAGTTAGTACCTGAAGCCTCATTTACACAATGGACTAACATGGCCTGTTACTATGAGATTATAGCTACATTCAATTTACACTCTATGGCTGATAAGTTCAACTACTAAGTCTCAGTTCTAATGTAATGAGATTCTAGTAATATAGCTTTCACTGATCCAATCACAGAAGGTCAACTACGGACATCTGCTTCACACTATTAGGCAACTCCTCAACATAGTGTAGGCTTGGTCCTAATGAACAGTGAATGAAAGCTGAGCAACTGGACTGAAAACAGCAAGCTGCAATTCCAAGAGACAGCTTAGTTTGCTGTTTTCACTTTTGCAGTGGTTGATTCTGGTAAAAATTGGCACTTTGTACTGTCTTATTTTGGTAATGAGATTCAGACAGCCTGATGTTTGAGTGTCCCACTTCACTTTTAAAACGAACACTACTCAATATATCCAGCTAAATAGGTTTAGATCTATAACCCAAAAATGGGGGAGCAGAGAAAAAAAGCTGCCCAATACAGTGCAACTATGATATTTACCATAAACCTTCTTACTAAGATAGCTCAACCACTGCTATCATGTGTCAACAGACTCTTTTTCATAATGGTATGGTGACTATCAGTGATTTGGCATGAGCCATTGGTTATGTTTACACTGTAGGTAGCCAGGAGCTTATAAGCTGCAAAGCCACACATGGGCATGTCTGTGCTATAATCATGGAAATTTTGAAACAAGGGCTTAACATTTCACAATAAATAAAGTGACTTTACTTGAAACTGTTTTCTGAAGTCTGGATTCTTTCTTATCTCATGTTTGTGCTTGCTTGAAAACTCCTCTAATTTTTTTCTGAATACTTCCAACTGTTTAGTCATTTGCTCAAACTGATTCTCTTGAATTTCGTTTCCTTTGTCTCGATATTTCTCCTGTTCAAGTTTTTGTTTCTGTATTGCACCCAAACCGATTCCACGCCTCATGTTGGGGAGTATATTCGTCTTCCGTTAAGTTTTTATTTTTACCAACTGTATCAAGTTTCAATGTACAAATTATTCAATGCATTTAATTCTTATTTTCTTTTTTAAAGCTATTTTTAAAAATAGGAGCAATGGGGTTTATGTTTTCCTAAAATAATGACATTCTTGTCATGTTGACATTGACAAGCAAACGATTTTATAGAACACCAAAACCATAGATGGACGGAGATTAGATCTACCTTTAACATACAGAAGAAGTATTAATGTCTACCATTTTCGTTCACTAAGTAAAAGTGTAGTTTCTATTCGTATTGTACATAAAATCAACCGTAAAAATAATTACGTAAGGACAACCTATGGAGACAACCTCATATTACGAAAAATTGCAGTAAGCATGCTTTGTTAAAATTTCAGAGTGTACATTGCACGCCTAAAATCTTTGTACTTTGTTACACACAAGTTACACACATTCCAGTGAAAGCCTGGAAAAAAAAACGGAACCATATATACCTTTCATAATCAATATCAGTAAGGCTGGTCAAAAATGTCTATGTACAGCTCAGAGAATTGAAAAAATGTGCATATTATGAGTGCGAATGAAGCGTTAACAGATAACATCGGCACCAAAACAACGATCCATCTAATCAAATAATCATCAAAACCAATTGAAAGCGGTTACGTTCACAGTGACAAAAATATTGCCTGCCGATATAAAATGATATACGATGAGGTTCAAATTTAGCTGACGAGGGAGAAGGGTGCAATATATGTCTGCGTCCGTGGCCTCGTTACTCGGGTTGCTAGGCAACGAGGTGGTTGTATCTCTCTGTAAAACACGTATTGTACGATTCTCGCGCTTCTCTCTCGTACACATTATGTCAGGTATATGGATCTCACTCTATAGCTTCCTTGACAGTAATCAAATCCAAGCGAATAACCAAAATTTCTGTGTTATGTGCCGCGGTTATAATATGGTTCAAGATGACACACGGGTTGGTGACGTCAGTTACACGAATCGCTTGAACGCGTTGGTTTTAACCGCGGTTTTGTTGCAAGTTGTTTATTTTAGAAAAGCGCGTATATAATCTCTGATTACTTTTATTATCACTTAATAATCGGTGCTTTTTCGTCTACAACTGTATATGGAAAGTTTAAATAAGAAACCTTTCATAATATTCATGGGAGAAATGTTTTTTTCAGTTTTTTTTTTAGTGATGAAACCATGGCTTTGTAGCTATGATAACTTTCAATTCTCTAAATTTTCCGCATGTCAAAGAAAACATTTATTGATTCAGCAGAAATGATGAAAAAAGATATTAGCAAAACCGTATACAGGTGGATATCATCTAGTGAGTTTATATGGCCATATTTTAATATTCTTGTGGTATATGGCTACACAGGATACTTTGTTAAGCATAGGAACTACATTTAAAGTGTCCCCAACAACCGTAATGAGTATAACTAATAAGGTGCTCCACTTTATGGTAAAAGTGAAGTCAGCCTGTATCATTTTTCTCAAAAATGAAGCTGAAGTACAATAACAATATCCAATACCCGGCAAAATTCTAACTTGTCACATTTCAAATAATAACCAGAAATATAAAACTACTCTTGAGTTGGGTAAATACCACAATTTTGCGGTGATAACTATGACATATAACAGCTGATTCGTGACGTCACGGATCTTATAACCAAACTGATAACTACACTCGCTTGAACGGATTGGTAAATACCAACCCAAAATGGTAAATACCATTTCCATTTGGTTATCCGCTTGAATTTGATTAGTGATAGGAAAAGTGACGCAGGAGTCTTTTGTCCATTTCAGCTGATTTCAGCGTATGGACAGTGCCAGCTTTGACGGGCCACTTGTATATCACCTACTTGCACACAACTAGCTTTTATAGTCCATGCCTAAGCTTTAAGCTATGTATGAACGGTTAGTCGCCAGCAATCGATGGAGCACGTAGGAGCTATGTCAGTTGCATAAGTATTCACATCTTACAGATATTGACCTTAAAGTATTCGAATTTTGTCTTATTTACGATCAATAATTATTGAAAATAGTACTCTTTCAGTAATCGGTGTTTACCATCACCAAGTTTTCCTGGAATTTCAAAGATATTTTTATTTCTATAAATTATTTGTTAGGCAACTAGAATTGCAAAACTTCGTAAGAGTGGTAACAGCCAATTCATGATGAATGATAAGTGACATGATGTCATATACAGGATGTATGAGGTCACAGGGACATCAACAATTTTCAGTATTCCTTTAAATTCTTGAGTAATCACAGTACGATTAAAAACATATGTTTCTGAATAAACCATCAAGTTATTATTAATGATTGTTCAAAATAATGCAACAGTGTCATGGGCAAGTGCTGTATAATTATGATGAATCACTTTTTCAGGCTCAACTCGTCCAAGCATGAAAACGAATAAAGAAAAATATTTAAAAAATGTGAAACTGCTGAATGCTATATCAATTTCCAGAGAAATATTTATTTGCTTCTGGAAGCCAGCCAGTTATTGGGTAATTATTTATATTCCAATATTTCACATAGCTAAAAATGTATAAGTTCACTGTTTACTGTTCAAAATCTTATCACAAAGATAAATTAATTAAACAATAGTACTCTACAGCTAATAGTTGCATGTCTTGTATAAGTTCACCAAAATAGTGCTCATTTGTAGTGAAACAACTTAAAATGGAGTGCAAAAATAGTGCAGAATTCACAGGAGTCATAGAGGGAAATAAGCCAAATGAAGAACCAACCACACCAGAAGAAAATGATTTATCAATTACTAGACCTAGCTTAGGATCTGATGCTGAGTTTGATGATGAGCTTGCTATAGCAGAATCTATAAAACTAGTCGATATGGGCGATGGGCCTGTGGCTATTGAAAATTCTGATGTGGAGTTAGAATGTAAGGTTTTTGAATCCCTTCTAATCTTTAAGGTATCAAAAAATTGAGACAAGAACACTAAATAACTGATCTCTCATGTTCCATGTTCACCAAAGTCAACTAAAAACTTGAAAATCTTCAGATGTTTCCATAATTTTTAAGAGTATAAACATTTTTTCAAAAAACAATTAAGTAGCTAAACTTTTTCCATATTGACATACACTTCATCTCCAATATGCCTATCATCTAATCAAATGTAGCTGTCTTCAGTGTTATGTCTATATAATGACCTGGTATTCTTGTTCTTTGCACATAATGTTTTTTTAGACAGTAAGATCTTACAAAATTAAGCTCCGAGGAGGGAAAGGGTTCATAGCCTCAAATTTTTGCCTTCTCAAGATTTCAATAAAATGTATGATCAAATTACCACCCATAAACTGGTGTGCCACTATTTAAAACCTACCACAATATTGTATCAAATTGATTTAAATAAAAGTCCAGATACCTATAAGCCAACACCAACTATAGATATCATTTTGAAGTTGACAAGCCTTTTTTGAAAATGCTAAGTGTGAGACAAATATGAATAGCATATTTTTACCTGACTGACAGAAAGAAGATGTTGTTTTCTTGAGCATGAGTATGAACATATTTATCCAAACAATTCTATTTCATGGGTTCCAGGCCAAACAGCTTGACAAATATTGAAATATGAGGTGTTGTTAGATTCATCTTAGCAGTGAAAGTGACATGGCTAAATTATTTCACATTTCACCTACTACAGCCTAAACAGCTTGATAGTTTTTGATATCTGCGGTGTCGTTAGATTCATCTTAATAGCTTAGTTAAAATGTCATTCATTTCAGTCGGGCTTTTGGTATTTTTTAAAAATCTACATGTTTAAAAAATGCAAATTAAAAATAATATCTCTAGTGACTTGAAAACTCATCGCGATCTGAAGAGCGAGAATACCACCCCTGCCGAAGTACAAGAATGTCGTATCAGTTACTTATATTGCAAAATGATACGACTGATCACTAAATTGAAAATTTTTGTGACTACGATACGATTTCAGCAAAATAACTGTATTGTGGTTATTACTTTAGCACATAATGATTCACAAAGTAGTCCTAACTTTTTCCCATAATTTTAGGTGATGACCAGTTAGAAGGGCTTCCATACAGCAGTATCACCAACTGCAAAAAATTCAAATCTTATCATAGAAACCTTTTTATTCCTGGTGTTGATATCACAGCAACTATAACAAACTATGAGAGGAACTTGACCACACATGTCTTGAACCCTAATTTGTAAGTACAATATATTTTTAATACATGCATGTGTCATCTAGAAAATATTCAATAATAGGTTTGATTATAACATACCTATTTCTTATAAGCGGTATGTTTGTAGAATACAGTGTGTTATAATTATTATTCCTTAAATAGAATCAGAGAATAAAAATTTGCAATAATTCAAATTATACAATAGTATAAAAAATGTGTGCTTTATGTTATTACATTTTGTTTATGATATGATTTGTTCATGCTATAAGCTGGCATGTCTAAGTCTGTTGTCATATCTAATAGAAGACACATTCCAAAAAAATCTGGCAATGGTGCAGAACCACACCAGCCAACCACGCCATAGCGCCAGCCGCGATAGTGAAACTCGAGAGAACTGGCGATGAAGTCAAAGTGAGTCAGGCGCAGACAGTGCACAATTTATAAATATATACCTATAAGTATTAAGAGCAAATGTACGGGAAAATCTATGATTCCTGAAATATGTACTGATATTTGCGTATAAAATTACTGGGGCTGGAAGCGTATAAATATACTGCCGCCAAAAAATGAGATATACTCTCCCCACCCATTACAACTCCCAACCCCGATCTTCAATCTCTACAAGAGTTTTTCTGAAAAAAATCAGGTGCCTTTAAAACATCAGAAAACGGTTTTTATTTTTATTTTTCGTGATTTTGCTCCTAACTCCGCCGCCACTGGACCGAATTTCAAAAACCTGATATAGTAGCAACCTTGTATGAAAATTTCATCCAAATCCAAGCAGTACTTTCCAAATTATAGGCGGTCCAAACATTAGCAGACATCCAAAACACATTATCCCGTTTTCGAAAATTTTCGCGATTACAATACTTCTTCGCCAGTAGTCGTGGGAAGTAAAACGAGCCAAATTCTCATTCAGAAGATCATTCAGTTTATTTAATTCCAGATACACAATTGCTTTAGCACATGGACCATTCCACTGGAAAATCAAGAAGAGATATAAACATTTCCAGACTTTGCAGCAACAACTGGTTCTGTTCAGAACTAGTCTTAACATACCATTTCCAAGTAAAACCCACAAAAATAAAAGGAAAACTTTTAGACAAAACGCCCCTGTTTCGCCTAAAGGAAAAAGAAAAAGTGCCTTGCCCAGGTATGTTTATATTTTGTCAAGTTAACATTTTTTATGATTTCTATGTGAATTGTAGGTTCCCCAAAAAGCCAGATGTGCTAGTGACATATGATAAGTTAGAGAATAGGATGAAGCAACTAGAAAACTACCTCAACAATTTGCTCTCTTTTACTATTTATAGGAACCACCCTGCCACAGTCAGTATAAAATCAATTACAAAAAGGTCACAATTTACCGAAAAAAGTATCTTTCTTATGTTCCTTCAAACAAACTAGCAAGCATATCAAATCCCGGGAAGAATATTACAATCAGGATATGCTAGAGAAATCAAAATATTCCTGTTCAAAAAAATTAATGATCATGAAAATTGGTGAAATTAATCATATATCTATATTGCAGATAGAATTTCTGGAAGTGAGTCACCTGTCATTCATTTCTGGGTTGGGCTTTAAAGGTAAAGAAGGTCTTGTCAGAAAGAAAACTGGCAGTACACATCCTGGACAGTCTGGGTGTAAGTGTTTTGGGTTGTATCACTGTTTTTGTTGCATTAGGTAAGTTCAAATAGTAATCCTATGTTTGAACTCAACGTGGAGTCGATCTACTTGACTTTATACGTATAATATATATGTATACAGGGTGGCGCATCGAAAACGAAACAGACTGGCAGCTCAGTTTTTTTTTTGGAAAACGCTCAGACTCGTCGATTTTGCTTTCGAGGGGACACAAGTTTGGCAAAAAATCACGTTAGCACGAGCAGCCCCTAAGCGGGAGTGACACCACCCTCAAAATCTTAAATGGAAAGGGAGTCGAGAGATACCTTATTTTAAAGGTCTTTCAATTGCCTTTATAATGATATAAAATTAATGTACTTCCGTTCAGTAGTTTTGAAGATTTATTGATTTAAAGCTTAGTGGAGATCAATACATTTGGCAGCAAAGTAATTTAAAAATGAAGAATGAACTGACCCGTTAGGCATGTGAATGTTGAAAATGGCCACCATGACTCTCCATGCAATAATAAAGATTTTGCTCAAAACGTTGCCACACATTTTGCAATATTTGAGGAATAATTTGAAGGCACTCATTTACAATTCTTTGTCGCAGGTCTTCTAATGATGTTGGCTGAGTAGCATAGATTTTGCTTTTTAAATGACTCCACATAAAGAAATCCAAAGTTGATAAGCCTGGCGATCTTGAGGGCCATTCAATGGTACGGCACCTCTTCTACCAATCCATCGATCTGGAAACGTCTGATCTAAATATTGTCGAACACGTAATGCGTAATGTGGCACCATCCTGTTGGAACATCAACTTATTCGTAATGTACCGCCGATCATTCTGATTTTCAATTATGGCTGTTAATGCAGGATCTATGGCGTCTTCCAGTAATTCCAAATACATTTCACTGGTCAAATTTCCAGGTAAGAAAAAAGGACCAACTAAATGATCGCCAAAAATACTATCCCAAACATTTAATTTTTGTGGCTGCTGTGTATGAACCTCATGATAAATTCTGGGAATAGAATCGGACCAATATCGGCAGCTATGACGACTTACTACGCGATTTAAGAAAAAGGAACATTGAATAGAAAATGTTCATCGTTTATAATTCGTTCACTCGTATCTTCACAAAATTGTAATCACCGATCAAAATCGTCTTTATTAAGTTCTTGTACCAGGTGAATTTTATACGGATGAAAACTATGGGCCTGTAGAATCCGTTGGACAGTACGTCGACTAACACCACACACAGTCTCCAATTTGCGGGAACTTAACGTAGGATCTACATAAACTTGCCCTAAAACTCGCACTTATATTGCTTCGTTCCTTATGGGATTTTCAATGTTGCGTTTTTTATTGGCGACTGACCCAGTTTCCCGAAATTTAGCTACAAGTTCTAGAACATATTTTCGATGCACGTTACTGTTCTCATGTCGCTCATTAAATATTTCTGCTGTTCTATTAGCGCACTGATTATTTCGGAAAAATATTTCGATAATTTCAACTGTTTCTGCTGTGGAATATACCATGGTTAATTTATGTAATAAAGCGTTAACAACAAAGTTTGGTCAAAACAATCGCAAACTATGTACTAAATTCCATTTAAAATAAGTACTAGATATTTCCTTATCTTTCTTCGAGAAATAACTTTTTTGCCACAAAAAAAACGCTCCAATAGCTATTTTCAACAACAAGCATGGGCGTAAGTAAATTCTTTTAGTCAAATTTCTTCTGAAAGTAGTACAAACTAATCTGATGTTCCTATTAAAGTCTACTTTAAGCTTTAAATCAATAAATCGTCAAAACTACTGAACTCAAGCTCATGTATTTTACATCACTATAAAGAGAATTGAAAGACCTTTAAAATAAGGTATCACTCGACCCCCCTTTCCATTTAAGATTATAGGGTTGGTGTCACCCCCGTCCAGGGGGCTGGTCTTAACGTGATTTTTTGAAAAACTTGTGTCTGTGTGTTTCATAAGCATTATCATTGATTAACGTAGTCTATCGCAAGATAGCCAAGCTAATCCTATATTTCGGCGTTAAAAAAAATAATTCGAGGTGAATTGAAACCGCAAGGTTTCGCTCCAATTTTAGTTTCAAAACTTTTAACTGAGATAGATGATATGGGATGTTGGTACCTCCAAATGGGAGGTTAGATCGTACTGTATCTTCCAGAAAAAAGAATCTCAGTCTGTATCAATTATTAGAAGTAATAATAGTAGCATTTTATTATTATAGAAAAAACAAACTCTATATATGTAATAATCAGTAAAATATTATTAAGACTTAGTTAAAGAAAACTGTAACAATACTACATTTGTCTCTTAAAACACAAAAAATAATATCTTTTTATTTCCAACATTTTGTAAAAAAAAATTACTATTGCACCAATAATATTTAACGTTAGTTTAGACGGAAACCGAGTTTAACTTGAAGTACTTAAATCCCGTTTAACATATAACCTTTGTTTAACTCAATTTTTGGAATTCAAAGATGATATTTTAAACGATAATTTGAACTAACAAACAGGGCTGTTCTAGAAGAATTATTCAAACACCCAAAACAAAAACTATATCCAAGAAAGTGGTAACTATGGCATCTTTAGGAAATCTAGTTTGTACAAACAAACTGAACTGGAATTCCTCAATGATCTGTAAGTGAGAAAACAAACTTCCGTAGTTTCAGTTTCGGTTGATTTTTTGCCGAAACTTAACTGAAACGCTGATGTTGGACCGAAACCGAAAGTTCGGTCCGATACTAGTAATGAGATACTGTAGCGTCATCTATGACAATTTCCTCAACTATTAGAAGTCTACTTTGAAAATGTCTCGTAGATGGCGCTGTATCTATATATTCATATGTATATTGTTGGCTACAACGCCATCTATGGATAACCTTTTCAAAGTAATTAGATATAGCTGTGAAAAATCCTCTTAGATGGCGCTACGGTATCTCATTTCTCTTCGGATAGTTTTTTGGACGCGCGAATCTAGTATCAGGTCGGCTATCTTCAGGTAGAATACGTTAATGAATGAACTGTATCAATTTATTTGATTCAATTCCGTTTATTCTAGATGCCAACAATTGTGCAATGACATGATATGTTCGCGTTGGGTGAAACGATGGTTGTTCATGAAAGACACCTTCTTCGGTTACATTAATCCCGAGAACGGCCAGTTGAAATCTGTGATATTGTACGACCAAGGTTTCGAAGTTGTGACGGGGATGTACTCGATAGGTTTGCAAACAGGCTTTCACGTACAGACGCTCAGCAGGCAGATCAGTCTCAAATGTTACACGAGAAGGAAAGGAAAAGAGTGGACGCAGGCGTTGAAAGAAGTGGCAGGAACAACGGGTAAGGTTTAAGGACCAAATTCATTGTGAAAGTGTCATTATTATGAGGAAGCCTTATTTGTCGTAACATCCTTGAGCTGCGACAAAAATGTATCCCTAGACTAAGGCCCGTATCGTCAGTCGTCCCTACAATTGTAGGGCGCGTTTATGGCCTCCTTGATTGTCATACTCCTTTCTCTCCTTCAAATATTCCTAGATTACACTTGTCCCGTGTCAGCGTCATAGCTCTCCTATTGTGAAGATATGTTTTCTTTTTAAATTGTAGGAAATTTCAGGCTGATAAAACATGATATAACTCAAAAGCAAGCACAATTTGATGCAAATAGATGTTTGTGACATAACCTCAAAATAGAGTTCTGACTCGGAGAAGTAGACAACTATGACAATCAAGGAGGCCATAAAGGCGCCCTACAATTGTAGGGACGACTGACGATACGGGCCTAAGGAAAAAAATGTTCTCTTTTATAGGAATATTTTTTTGAAATATTTTTTTATGATTTTTGTGGCTCGCTTTACTATCGTGAAAAATCATTAAATAACATAAGCATTTGGACACTGCTTTAGAACAGTTAAATAATGATATTAAAAAAATTATGAATTGGTTGAATCTTAATAAACTTAAACACTAATAAAACAAAATGTATGTCAATAGGGAAACATTTAGGTAACAATACAATTAGGCTCATGATTAATGATAAACAAATTGAAGTAGTCGAATCATTTAAATATGTTGTCATATATGTGGATAGTGAACTAGTTTCACGAGCAATTTTAATACATGATTTCAAAAATATTAAAAATTAAAATGAATTACGTCTATAGTTTCCCATAATCTTAGTATGGATTCCAAAATAATTGTGTATAACACTATAATTCTTCCCTATTTTTTATATTGTTCAACCATCTTGTTTACAGCAAATGAAAACATATTTTCAAAATTACAAATCCTACAAAATAAGCTATGAGAATCATTTTAAATAAAAACAAATATGCTAGGATCGAGTCTATGTTAGAAGAACTACAGTGGTTGAATCAGAAAAATTTCATATGTTATTTAGTTCTCGTTTTCATATTCAAATAGAAAACTTTCTACTCGAAAATCTGTAGAAAACACTGAATCATTCTGCTTGTCTTTAATGTTTCAGCAAAAGAATTTACTCAGATGAACCCGAACCGATCTTTTGCACCAATCAGAAACAACATAACAGCCTCATGGTTTGTGGATGGTGCGTCTTATATGTCTGCAGTTGCTGACGCCATAGACAATGCCAAAGAAGAAGTGTTTATCACCGATTGGTGGCTGAGTCCTGAAATCTATCTCAAACGACCAGCGATCGTTGGAGATTATTGGCAGTTGAAGAACCTTTTGAAAAGAAAAGCTGTACGTACAAGAAAAAACATTCAAACAAAAAATGTGGTAATGTGTAAAAGGTTACATTGATCTCTCTCTTCAGAGAGCATCATCCTAACCCTTTGCATTTGCGTGAAACATCTAGATTCTCAGGAACGCCGGTACAAATGCGCAAAAGACAACTTAACGTTGAATAAACACCCTAAATGACATTAATTTTACTAAATTTAAAATGAAAAATTACACAGGGTGTTTCAAATCCGATCCTCACCATTGGGATCTCGGAAACTGTAAGAGATACGAAGTCGCTTAAATGGGGGCAAAGTTGCGTATTTAGGTACTTAACAAAATCTCCCTTAGAAATATACTTTCCGGAAGTACTTAGAAAATACTTCCGGAGAGAGACGGAAAAAATAAAATTACTCAAAATCGTTTTAATTTTTTCCTGGCATTATTTGTAGTGGGATTTCAAAATAAATTGCACATTAACACTGTTACTTTTTCTCCTTTACAAAATGGCATGGCAAACTTAACCAATTTTTTTTTTTTTGAATCAAATATCGACTGAAGTCTGTTGAAATAGACCCCCTTCTATAAGATTTAATTACCATTCGACAAATACACGCAAAATTAATAGGCTTTTATGGACCTGCATTTGTGATTTTTTATACAAAATTTGATATTTCTCAAAAACAGTTATATTTTATCTGAAGTCACTTGAAACACTGTGAAATACCGGGTGCGTTTTATGTATCTATATTTAACACGCTCTGTTGCTGCAAAAATCGCCAAATTTCGCAGCAAATATCCCCCGTATAAGAGATCAAAGGCAGTTTCACCGGTCCACGTGGAGTAAAGCACGCCTATGCGTGGACATAGCCAATGAGAAAGCGTGTATTTCAGAGCTCCGAACAAGTGCAGGTGGCTACTGAAAATTGAAACAGTTTAGCCAGTGCCGTGTAGCGGTGAATAAACGTGTTTTCTTTAGTCTGTCCGTGTTTTTTCATAGATTTTATTAGTTTGTGTGTTTTTGACTTTTGAATACTCAGTTTACTTGTTGATTTAATTGTTGTGTTGATTGTTCTTGTGTGTCCTAAATATGGCTCTTTGGAGATCTTGGGAAAATGCTCCAAGCCACGAGGAGATGGTTGATGAACCTGTGCAGGCAGAATTCTTTCATAAAGATTTAGAGGAACAGACCCAAAGAGTAATCCTAAATATGTATGATTGTCTGAAAAACGAAAATCCAGATTTCTCGCAAAATCAAATTTTAAACAGAATTTGTATCCTGACAAAAATCAGTCGGTCTACCATTTATCGGGTTATAAAAAGGGGAGATGTAGTCAACCATTCCTTCCACAGAAAACGCATAGGACAAAAATTAAAAAGAATAGACGTGGGTTTTCAGGAAGATATTCGTCGTATAATATACGGATTTTATAAAGAAAATTTGGTGCCCACGTTGGAAATGATACGGGATAAATTAAAAGATTATCCTGAAGATTTTTATAATTACAAATGCTTAGACTCACTGCACTGCATTGTAAAACTGTGTGGTTTTCAATACAAAAAATTAGATAAAAGAATGGTGATTATGGAGTCGTCTCGAATCGTTGAATTGCGCCAAGAATTATTGCACAAAGTTAAAATCTATAGAGAGCAGAAAAGAAATCTGATTTACCTGGATGAAACGTGGTATGATACCCATGATGTTGTGCAGTACGGCTGGGTTGACGACAGCAACAAGTGCATTTAAAATGCACCATGCAACCGTGGAAAACGAATCATTATTCTCCATGCTGGCAGTGAAAATGGATTTATACCTAATGCCTTGCTGTTATCTGCCAAAAATATCAAAGAATCATGTGCCGACTATCATGAGGACATGACCTCCGACTTATTTGAAAAGTGGATAGAGCAGCAGTTAATACCAAACATTTCCCCAAATTCAGTGATTATTATGGACAATGCGCCATACCATTCCCGACAGAAAAACAAAATTCCGAATACAGGCACAAAAAAACAAGACATTATTGATTTTATGAAGGATAAGGGAATGGAAATACCACAAAAATCAACCAAAGCCATATTATTGGATCTTATTAAAAGACAAAAATTTGAAAAAGAGTATGTTGTTGACAATCTGCTTCAGCAAAATCGCCATGAAGTATTACGTCTACCTCCCTATTACTGCATTTTTAACCCGATTGAGTTGGTCTGGGCTGCTTTAAAAAAAAAAGTAAGAAAACATAATCAGACCCCTCAATTAAGTGAATCGCTATTGGCCACAATAAGAGATGCAGTATCTCATATTGCTGCCACAGACCTATGGAAGCAGTGTTCTAGGCATATTATTGAAAAAGAAAATGAATATTGTGTTTTGCCTCCTGTAAATCCCGTTGTAATTCCTCTACAAGATGACTCTAGCGACAGCTCCGAAGGCGAGGATGATATATAAATACCTATAATGTAAGTCTTTATATACCTTTTTATATACCTACCTGCTATGTAAATATTTGCCTATGTCAAACGTTGGAATTCTGTAATTTTTCCATTTCTTAACTTTCAGTCAACATAAATTAAACTCCCAATATAAGTATTTTTTATCCCAAATCAAAAAAATAAGAATATAGTAAAATCCATTCATTGTGATATAAAAACATTATTATTATCGTTCTAAATAATTGCCGCACGCCTATGATACGTCATGAAATTACAAAGGACGCGCCGACCAAAGGTTTTTATGCTATTTCAAGTGACTTCAGATACACCATAGTTAGGTGCTATACATGGAATGTATTTAGAATCTTGCACCTTGGTATCTATTTCCAGTACAACCGGAAAATATTTTAGCCACATTCCTCATGTCAGTCAAGCTCCAAAACCCCAAGTTTTCATAATTACCTATCGTCAACTTTTCGACTAATCGATCGCTGCAGTTCTACGAGGGACACCCTGTATACAGAAGAGGACACTGACTACGGGCCGTATCTTCAGTCATTACTACAATTGTAGAACACCTTTATGGCCTCCTTGATTTCCATTGTTTTCTACTGTTCCTTGTCAGCCCTCTATTTTGAGGTTATGTCACAAATATCTATTTCCATCAAATTATGTATAGGGGATGATAGTTTTTAAGGAACCTTTGATTCTTTGAAACTTTGACAAATATGTACCATAACAGTTTTAGCAATTGATTGCTTTAATAGATAAGCCTGAAACTTTGAACAAATACTAAACGACACAAATCAATGAGAATTTGCATTTTTGGAAATTCAACTCTTAGGAGCATGAAGTAAGGAGTGTAAATTTCCCACTTTGTTCGATCCCTTCTGGGAGATTCTCTAGCCATGGCTGGCTTTAGTATTTTGTATTTGACTTTGCTCTTGAAATATAAACTCATAGAGCATTACGTAAAATAGTTTGTTAATGGTTGAAAATGTAAAGCGTTTTGATCACCATTCGTTAAAAAACATTTGGGAAAACTATTGTTGTATTTTTATTGGTATGAATGCGTTTTTTCACATTCAGAAAAAAAAATCAATTAACCCAACAAATCTGTTCGCAATGTCACTTATTGCTATAATCGTACAAGTGATTATTTCAAAAATACCACCTTTAGCCATCGTTTGCATATATTTTTGTGAATGCGTAAATTTCTGAATTCGTAAGCTTCTCTGACACATCAACTCATTGATTTCTGATGTCTTGGCAGTTTTTTCAAGGTACCGTTTAAAACAAAGTAAAATAAACCTTTGAAAACAAACTTGACATAAAACTAGTAATATAGCTTTCGTTAGTCCCATCACAGGCGGCCAACTATGAACGGTCTCGGGTTGTTTGGTAACTCATCAGGATGGTCTAGGCTTCCTTTCAGGTAGGATAACGAAGGAAAGCATAGCAAATATCCTCTATTCAAGCGATGAGATCTATCGAAATAAGATAGCATAAAGCGCTATCTATTACCAGAATCGATTACTGCGAGAGTGAAAACCGCAAGCTTTCTTTCATTTTCCTAGACCCGAGAGGGTCCTGAGTCAAAGCTGATGAGTCGCCAAATAGCACGAAATGCGAACTGATATATCGTTCCAACAGACAACTTTCTGCTTTCTGGTAAAAGATTAAGCTTGACATAGTTTCTACTTCGGAATCAACAAATATGTTTTTTTATGTTCATAGGACGCAGGAGTCAAAGTCTACATCTTGCTTTACAAAGAAGTGGAAATGGCGTTAGGCCTGAACAGCTACTACAGCAAACAAAAGTTAGTAGAGTCTTCTGAGAATATAAAAGTACTGAGACATCCTGACCATGCAAAAGCGGGGATATTCTTATGGGCCCATCACGAAAAAATGGTTGTAGTCGATCAGACGTACGCTTTCGTTGGGGGCATCGACTTGTGCTATGGTCGATGGGACGACGACAAACACAGGTAAAACATGGAGTCAAGTAGACTGACTCGTCACTTCCCCCTTAAATTTTTTGACTACGTCCCGAAGTAATGTATATGATTTCGATAAAGTAGTAGTAGAAAGATTTATTTAGCACATTTGGCTACATAAACAGAATAATTGTAAACAACTTAGAACTAGAAAATTCAAGCCATCTGGTGTATGATTTAAATGCTGGGCAACCTATAATTGTAGATTTAGCAAGTGATTTCTCAATTTTACTTTAAATTTTGTCAAAGTTTTCTGGTCTTTAATCTCTGAGTATAATTTATTATATTCAATCAACCCTTGATGGAATACAGATTTGTAGCATATGTTATACTTTTTGGTCATTAAATGGAAGTCAACTTTATTTTCTGGTATTATGTAAATGATGGTCGACATTTGATGATGTTAAATTAGTTAGACTTGATGGAACTATATTATTTTTTACTTTATAAATGAATATCGTTACAAGATATTTGATAAAATTTTTTACATTGAGCCATTTTAATTTGCTCATTTGCCTAATTGGAGTATATTTATCTTTATTTAGTATTATTCTCATGCACTTATTTTGTATAATTTGCAGTCTTTCAAAAATGGAATTATTTGCTAAATATAGAATAGTCCAACAGTACAAGAAATTTGGAAGAATGATGGTATTATAGATAATTTTTCTGCTATATGAACTCAGACATCCAGAAACTCTCCATAAATATTCCACTTTACTACTAATCTTACTTATAACTTTTTCATAATGAATATCAAAAATTAATCGAGAGTCAACAAAAACCCCCAGGTATTTAAAATTTTCTACGAATTCAATATCTTCACCATCAATATTCAGTTGAACATTTGTACATTGTTTTTTTCCGATTAACAAGGCTTTCGTTTTACTTGTATTTAATTTTAGTCTGTTAGATGCTAACCATTTTGAGACAAGTTTCAAGTCTTCATTTATACAGGGTGACTTCGAAGTTGAGTCATTTATTTTAACAATGAGTAGATCTGATCAAAAGAAATGTTTTTTCCTTTACCATTTTTCTGGTAAAATTAAAGTAACAAAGTTATAGCCCTTTGGAAGTTTGAGTACCGCCCTGTCTCAATAATAATATTATGTGCTCGTGTTTGGCAACAACGGATATAATCCGCCTTATCGGTTCATCGCATCGGAAACAAAAAAGCGAAAGAATTTGGAACGATGTTTTTACAATTATTTTATTCAGTTGTATACTATACAGTCAGTGTCAGTCGGTAACGCGTGAGTGAATAGCGGTGTCTGTTGCGTGGCTCAAACGAAATAAAAAATGGCACATGTTTATGCGGATCAGTTTCCCAATCGAGTGCAACCAACCCCTCGTGCCTTTGTTAATGTAGTACAACGGGCTCGTGAATCAGGTGACTTAAGACCTCACAGGGGACGGCATGCCGGTGCTCCAAGACCTCACGATCAAATACAGGTCCGCACTGAAATACGTGTCGGGAGGATACTTTATAAAACAAGGTAACATTTTTTTTTTAATTTTTTTTTTATTTTTACACACATATTTTGGTTTATCTTCCTTCTACAATCATTATCTGAAAATTAATGACTCAACTTCAAAGTGATACCTAAGTACCATAAGAGATACCAGTCTGAATATTTTTATTACTTATATAAATCCTAGTGTCATCAGCGAAAATCTGATTTTGCATTTTTTGACTATGGCAGGTAAATCATTTATGTATAAAATAAAAAGAAGTGGTCCCAGGATACTGCCTTGTGGAACACCCAACGTATTTTCAATTTTTGATGAAATAGTGTCATTAACTTTTGTAACTTGCATCCTTTTAGACAAATAATTTCTAAACCAATCTAAAACACTTCCTGTTATACCATATGCCTTCAATTTACCTAACAAAATATCTCTATCAATCGTTTCAAATGTATAGTATACGATTCACACTATTTTTCTAGGTTGACAGATCTCGGCAGCATAAGCCCGACCATCGACGTATCGACTTTAAAGAAAAGAAGCTCAAGTGCTCCAGCTGGTGACGTGATATATCCTTTACCAGTGCCATATTACAAACAAGCACCTTTACCTACAGTCAAAGAGCCAGAAATACCTATAGAAGATACTGTTACTAATGATATACCACAACTTGAGCCTGGAGATCATTTACTAATACCTCCGAGGCCGGATAAAATCAAAATGAACACACCTGAGGTTTGTGTCATATTTCCTCATAATAGATAAAAAAATAGTATCTAGTAGTTTATCTCGGTAATTCCTGACCATTCATTTTTCAATTTTTTCTTACGTGACAAAAAAAAGTTTTTTGAGTTCCACTATTGATACTTTTTAATGCGCTTTTTTTATTAGCTTCACCTCTCGGGAAAAAGTTGAATATGAAGATTTAAAAAAAACTTTTTAAATTTGAAAAAAAATGAAAATTCGGTATTTTTCAAAATTATCTGACAATTTAGGGATTTTTTAACAAATTTGGAAATTTTCAAACATGAAAATTTTGGAAAAAATTGCAAATTTTGAAAAAATGGAAATGAAAGTTCTTTTATTTGTATTTTGAAGTATAAAATAATTTTCATGTATAGAAAGTTTGGATTACTGCAGTAGAAAGTCCAATAATCATGTGGGACTAATTAATTTTGAATAAGATCAATACAAAAATTATAACATTAAAAAAGCCTGGATTTTTATAAAAAACATTTTTTTAAAAAAACAAAAATCCAAGATATTTTGATTTGGAATGGATTGTGCTTTTTGTATCAGGCCAATATCACAAGGTTGGAGGTCAGTGTCGAGTGCAAAAGTTTTATTGTGAGTATTTTAGGGCTAAAAAACGGCCCATAGTGATGGAACAACTGAAAAACAAATAATAATGTTTATCCTTACTTTTCGCAAATAAAAAATTGAAGCGGTCAATAGTCATATTCTCGTCCAGTAACGCTTTTAATACTTTTTTTTTTAAATAATTTGTCCACAATTTACCCCGAAGCTCAATTTTCGCTAGATTGCCTGGATTATTAGCCTATATTAGTTATTTTAATGTTTATTTTTAATTCTAGATTTTTCAATTTTTGCACACGGTATATTAAAGGTATGCATTTTTGCTGCGGTAACTTTAATGTTGATGTTATGACCAAAAATGAGGCGACAAAATATAGAAACATATTTTTTATTACAAAAATAAATGCGATAACTCTACAAAAAGATTTAAAAAAATACTGTTTAGCTAATATTTGGTAGCATAGCCTTTAGCATTCAACACTGACATCTGCTGCTCATAGAAAACATCAATTTTTTACATACATCTGTTTGGATATTTTGTCAAATATTTTTTACATAAATAAATCGTTCCTGTTTTTTAAAGTTTTAACATGCTGCCAGATATGTTCTAGAGGGTTGAGGTTCGAAGATTGCGAAGGCCATGTCAGAACATTAACATTTTTTAGTCTTAACCAGTCCTTCACGAATTTGAAGTAATGCTTGGGGTCATTATCTTGCTGGAATGTCCATTTTTCCAACAATTTTAACAATTGGACCGGTTCCGGAACTAGAAAAACAGCCCCAAACCATGATGTTGCCTCCACCGTGCTTAACTGTTGGCAACTGATACTTTTTGCCGAATATTTTTCGTTTTGGACGTCTCACAGTATGCCGTACCATCAGAACCAAACAAGTTAAATCTGCTTTCATCGCTCCATAGAACTGTATTCCATTGTTGTTGTGTCCAAGTTAGATGAGTTTTAGCTAATTTTTTTTTTTTGAAATGAGAGGCTTTAGCACTGGACCAAAATCCCCCAAGCGCCTCTGCACTATTCTGACAAAATGATTCTCGTTAGCCTCTTCGACGATTCTTTTGAAAACTGCTGTGGCTGGCATTCGAGGATCTTAATGGGACACACGTTTAATGTAGGGATCCAAAACATAATCGGTTTTTCCGATTTTCCGCTCCTGGGCCGCGTTGCTGTTGATCCGTATTCTTGATATTTACTAACAATTTTCGAAATCGTCCCTTTGTTCATTTTTAATCTTTGAGAAATGTCAACATTTCTAACACCACTTCTAAATAATTCAATTACCTTGTCTGTTAAATCTTTTGAAAATTCTTTGTCTTTTGCCATTCTCACTGATGTTAATATTTACCGCACGCAATATCACAGTATCGCAGGACAAATAAATACGGCAAACCCGAGATGTTTCCATACTTTTGTCGTTACAAAAACTGTGGTTTTCTTTTTCAGAGAATTTGAATATTGGTAAGATAAACTTTGTATCAGTACGAGAGCTAAAGGTAGACTTTAATATCCATATTATCTGTTCTTTCACCATTTTAATTTAGGTATATGAAATAGTTCATACCAATGTTAATATTTGTAACTAAGCTTTTGTCCGCTACTGCATGTCGAGGCTAGCGCCATTTGACACATGTCAATCCCGACTTATTTCATATTTCTACCATATCGCGCGCTACGATCGGTTTCGCACATTCCGACTACGTAGATAATGCATCTGCTTTTTGATAACCCATGAATGGGTGGAAATCATTAAAATAGGTTTGATTTTCTTCTCCTGATTATTGCAGTTCGATAGAAAACACCTGATCATCGACACGATAAAATCCAAAGGTAAAGAACTGATAAATCTAGTGTACAACCCTAACGAAGAATGCGATGAACCAGAGCCAGAATCTCCAAACGAAAAGGCGGACCAGCAAGATCTCCAAACTCCCGAACAGATAATTGACACCCTGGACGGCCAAGCAAAACTCTGGATCGGAAAGGACTATGTGAATTTCATTGTGAAGGATTTCACAAACCTTGAATCACCTTTCGACGATTTCATAGACAGGGTCACCACTCCTCGTATGCCATGGCATGATATTGGAATGTGCGTGCAAGGCGCAGCTGCAAGAGATGTTGCTAGGTAAGGACTTTTAATGATTACATTTTTTATGAAAAACACTGGCCAAATCACACCGAAAATGCACTCATAAAACTGCATCCTAACCGTGTCTAAATTCGTGCAACCAGAACTGGCCGATACGACCGCTCCTTTGTCCCTAGGGTATCAAGATTGTGGAACAACCTCCCCGAGGAAGCTTTTCGCAGTTCTATTAACCTTACGCAGTTCAAAAACCGGATTAACAAACTTTCGTTATACTCCTCATAGCAGCCGCGGAGCCCCGGTACTACCTACGCGGCTAGAAAAAAGTTGAAACAAATAGAGATGCTTGATCGTCAAATTCTTGCACCACTATTGTCTAATAGGCTAGATACGCATATTTTGAAGTCCTCTTATTTTTACACGTTTTTCAATATTTGTATCATGCAGTTTTGAATTCTCAAGTGTCTCAATGTTGAATTTCCACTTTTGTCATCCGTTGTGACAAACTTCAATTGCAGCGAAAAACTGACAACAGGTTAGAGGCTCTGAAAAAGTAATTATTCGTTACTCATAGATACTCGAAGTAACGAGTATCAATCAGAGCACGAAATGATTACTTTGATTACTCTTTTCCGAATCTAGACCAAGCTGAAATTTTACCAATTATTATAAATGAATGCGGAAGATAGTGATAGCAATTCAGAGTTCTAGCGACTAGAACTTTTTTCAAATAAAATATATCTTTATTCTGAGGATTTTGTATAATAAATACTTTGAACAAATTTCATTTAAATGTTCATTTTTCTTATAGCTGTTTCAGAATTTTGTATGATTTAACTTAAATTATAAAATTGTAGTAAAGTTAAAATATGGTTTGAGTGGGTAGTAAAACTTTCAAGGAACTATTTTAAAATTTGTTATTTCTTTCCCTGTAGCCTATTTTTTATATTATTTTCCAAAAGTAAGCTAATTTCTGCTAATCAGTAATACGCAGGGTACTGTAATATTGGTTACGGTCTGCCACTGTCACTATCTCTAGCGTTTACAAAACACACGTTCCGCAATGTTGGTTGCGGTAAAAAGCACCTAAGACATAAAGTATATTCTGTAAAACGTCCTAGCATCTAGTAGTTTTAATTATTGTGGCAACCACGTGCGTCACTGTCATTATTTAACGTTGTAACGTAACTGGTTTGATTCAGTGAATATAATGTACTTTAATAATATCACCGACGTCTTTTGTTACAATCTGACATACTGCAAAAATGGGTCTGTTCGCCGTGAGCTCAACCATTCTTATAGTACGTTTTTTGTGTCGCTAAAAACGACTAATAAAAAATCTCCAGCACTGCGAGCTTCGTTGTCAAATCAATTATAGGATTCACTATCAATTTTTCAACCCACATCGGGTCCGATCGCACTTTAGAAGTTTTTTACTATGATACGTATACAGGCAAATCGTGACCAAAAATGAAACATCATACACAGTACACTCTAGGAAAAAAACACAAAAGATTTGTAGCAAATTGAAGGTAAAAAACAGGCGTACTATTTTTATTTGGAAAAATAATGCCACTTATCCCCTGTACCTCCGCCAGTGGTGCACGTTAGTTTCAAGTAAAGACTTTTAAATGAGGACAATACTTAGGTAAACCCACATACCAAATTTTAGTTAATTTCAGTTGGCGGTAATATATTATTTTTTTTATTAAAATGCGGCCCTGTGTATTATGTTTCATTTTTGGTCACGACTTGTGAACCACCCTGTATTCAGCGCCCCAAACCCCAAATTATCTTGTTATACAAAGCCTCGACAGCGATCGCTAAGAACCATGGCCTTTTAACACCCAAAAGTTGCAATAACACATAGTTTTGCAATTTTTCGCTAAATAATTACATATTTTAACGGGATTGACATCAGATTCGGCCTTGACAACCCAAAATACATACGGTAGAGGTCATTTGAACCGCACTTACAGCATTTTAATTTTTAGGGGTATACATTCTTGTATATTTTTTGGGTCGCTAAAACCGAATCCGGGGTCAATTCAGTCCGAAAAGTCCTCGTTTTCGATATAATGGCAAGAATTCCACTTTGTCAAAAAACGACTAATAATAAATCTCCAAAAAGTGTTGCGAGTCTATTATCTAAATGGAAGCTCGTTTTATAGGTAAATTGTGTGCTTAGATCCCGAATTTGATGGCAATTTAGTGCTAGGATTCACGGGTAGCCCCGAGTTAAACAGTTTCTTACCAATTTCATCCCAGATATAAAGGTCCGATATGACCCTTTAGAAGTGTTTTTCTATGGTGCTCATATTCAGAACCTCAAATTACTTTATAAATTTAAAAATGGTTTTTTTGTACCGTAAAGGCGCAAAAAACGTAAAGTTTTAACGGGATTAGACAAATGTGAAGTGGCATCGGATTCGACTTTAGTGACTCCAAATATGTACGATAGAGGTCATTTGAACGGCATTTTTAGCATTTTAGTTTTTAGTTACCATGTATAGTTTCAAAACTGCAAAAAATCGGTCAGTCGGGAACGTGAGTCCAACAACGTTTTTTGGGTCGCTGCAACCGAATCTGAGACCCATTCAGTCCGAAAATGCCAAGACCATTCGTAACTGACCCGGCGTCTATGCCGTAGAGCGTTAATGACTGAACACTTTTATAAATTCCCAGTTTTTGGTTTTTGTCGTTGGTCGGAGACCTGTCGGTGACTGTGTCTGGGATCCGACCATGTGAATTTAGTCTATAAAGCGTAGCAGAATGGGCGGAATTTGTGTGGCGGGATCCTGTACACCGTCACTGACAGGTGGCGAGACCTGTACAAACAGGGCTTTAATAGGATAAAATATTTTTTTGACTACTACTTTTATGAAAAAAAAAACAAAGTTTTACTATATAAATATATTTAATATATATGCGATGTAAGATTACATGATCATTAATAGGCCAACTATGATTTTCTCTTCTATTTACTAGGGGAATATGTTTTTTTGGTGACTGCATTCGCACTTGGGCGAGGGAAACCCCTAGAAAACCTCAACCGTCACTGCTCAGATTAGTTGTATCAGGTGAAGACAAATCAAGTCGTTCCACAATTCTGGGTTCATTTGTACAATCGAAAATCTATAGCAGTTATTAACCTAAAAAAAAAGTGGTATTGAAATAACGGTTTATACGAGGGTAATTTTTTAAGTAAGAACCGTTTTGTAATCGAGTTTGATAAATTTTATTTATGAACGTAAATTATACCACTAACAAAAATATGAACATTTTTTTAACAGTCACCATAAACATTCAAACGCAAGTCAAGTGGTGGCACCAATTTTTGGTTAATGTAGCATCTGAAACTTATCCTGTGGTTTTCATGTCGATAATGCCCTACTAATTCTTTATTGTGAACGTTTCTTTGACAACTGTGACATTCGTCAGCACCATGACTTTGACTATATAAAGGGTTGTCCAATAGGGACGCAGGAAAGTAAACGTCAATTTGACATAGACGCCATCTTTGTTTTCTGTCACCGACATGTCATTTTGTTAGTTGAATGTTTATCATTGATCGCTATGGAGTCGTATTCGATTGAAGACCGCATTAAAGTTATTCAAGAGCACTACAAAAATGATGCAAAAATAAAAAACACGTTTCGCGCGCTTCGTGAACATTTCGGTCGCAACAACCGCCCGAACGAAACAACCATCGGTCGTCTGGTGCGTAAATTCGAGGCAACAGGTTCTGTGGCAAATCTGCCAGGCTCTGGCCGGCCAAGGAGCGTTCGCACACCGGAAAATATTGCTATTGTGAAGGAGAGTGTGAGAGACGATCCGAAACAATCAACAACGCGTCGATCCCAAGAATTGGGCACTCCGAGAACCAGTTTGCTCCGCATTCTCTACAAGGATTTGAATGTACACGCCTACAAGATCCAATTGACGCAAGAGCTGCGTCGAGCCGACCATTTTTCGCGCCGAACGTTCTCAGATTGGCTCCTTGAACACCGCCAAATTGATGCCAATTTTTCATCAAAAATCATGTTCAGCGACGAAGCGCATTTCACTTTGAATGGGACGGTAGACAAGCAAAACTGCAGCATCTGGGCGAACAAAAATCCCCGTGAGTATCAAGAGCAGCCGATGCATCCTCAAAAAGTGACTGTGTGGTGTGCATTGTGGTCAAAAGGCATCATCGGACCTTAATTTTTCGAAAATGCGGCCGGGGACGCCATTACCGTCAATTCTGAGCGATATCACGTGATGATAGAGGACTATTTTTTGCCGCAACTTGAAGGAATGGATATGGACGATGTTTATTTCCAACAAGACGGTGCAACATGCCACACAACCAACGTCAATATCCATCGATTGCAGTCCTTCTTCGGTGATCTCGTGATTTCGCGCAGAGGAAATGTGCCATGGCCACCAAGATAATGCGATTTGACTCCCTTGGACTTCTTTTTATGAGGATATTTGAAAAGCAAAGTCTACGTCAACAAACCAGCCACCCTCCAAGAACTCAAAGACAACATCATTGCCGAGATAAATGCCATAGAACCGACCATGTTACAAAATGTCATTGAAAATTTCGACCATCGCGTGGACGTCTGTAAATCCAGTCGTGGTGAACATTTGAGCGATATTATTTTTCATAGATAAATGGTATAAATGAACCTTCAAAATAAAGTAGCCAACTTGATTTGAATATCAACCTTTCTTGTTTTAATATGCGTTTACTTTCCTGCGTCCGTTTTGGACAACCCCATATATTATTTTATTTATCTGCCTTCCAGGTGACACTTGTTTTTTATCTTTACATTTTCATACTCCTATACAGTGTGTTACTACAATAGTGTGAAAGGTCCTGTAACATGCAGAGATTTTTAGATTGCACCCCGCATAACCAGCATAGTCCAGGATCGCGTGGGAGTAGGCATTCGCTCTCCCAAAAGGGGCGTCCAGCCCTGCAAAACGACAACGAGCATGAGTCTTTTGTCGTTTTCTTTAAATTCCAGATACATTACCCTGGTTCATAG